AAGGTATGAATGACGTTCAACGAGTCTGTGAAAATATCCAATTCACTCTCATCAGGAACAGCAATAATAGCTGTTAAAAGAGCGTACACTTCCGCTTTAGTAGAAGACGGATTAAAAGATAAAGCGCCTTTGTAAGATGGTGGAGGAGGTCCAGAATCAGGAGTTGCATCAGTAATCTCGATCCAAGCAAAACCCATTTGAGTTTGAGTAGAAGAATTAACATCTATAGGGGAAAAAGAACCATCAGTGTAAAAAATAAATTTTTTTCGAAGTAAAAATTGTTTAGCTATTTCTAAAAGTTGAATAATTAAATCTCTATTTCCTACAAAAATATTTTTAATAAAAAGGGAGGAAGAGATATTTAAATTTAAATTGATTGAATTATTAGTAAATAAAAAAAGATTCTCCTCTAAGTATGAGTCCAAAGAGGATAGAATGGGAATCATTGGGGGTAAAACGTTAGGTACAATTAATCTATGTTTGTTATATGTAAAAGCTTGAGTACGAAGGGTGTGTAAAGATGTAGTTGGGAAAATAAAAGATTTATCTAATTTTATAAAAGGTCTATTAGGTATAAAAGATTTTGCGTGAACATTAAAAAGAATTAAATGTGATGTTAAAGAAACAATAACACATTTTGGGCGTAAATCGCCACTAAAAGGTACACTATGACCACAGTGACCTGTACAAGGTCGTAGAATAGGGGTTACTTTTTTGGGTGTCAAGTTGACTCTAGTATCAGCGTTAACCTCAGGAAGGTAATGTGTTCGATAAGTGAGGCTGGTACCGTATAAATCATTTTGTTGTTCAATCGTCTTGCCATACAGTTCACACTGGTGTACTGCGTCCCAGGAAATAGTCCATTCATTTTTGGGACGATATTTACATGCTTTTCGTATAGAAGGAGACATAGAATCAAATCTGGCAGGGGGTGAAACCATTAAATCTCGTAAGAGGCGACGTGAACTATCGTTCACCAAAATGTTAAATTTTTCAAGATTTTGAAACCACTTGGGCGTAGGACCTTTGAAATTGGCCTTAGGGTTTTGTTTTTTAACGTCTTTCCAAGTACTTAGAAAATAGCCATCAAGGGATGTTAATTGATCCATAAACATTATACGTTTTTTCAGTAAACTTTGAAGGTCTTTAGTGGATAAAGAATCAAGAGAATTAAATAAATTAAAATATGAAACTATAGAATTACCACCACCAGTAATACACGTATTACAGTGTGGTAAAAAAGTTATATGAAACGTGTTGAATAAACGTAATTGTCGAGTCAAAAGGGATTGATAATTTGACGAAATAGGGTTGACTAAGTCCTTAGACGTCGGGAAATTGGGAATCCAAAATTCATATTGTGTATTCAAAATTTTTTGTAAACCAATAGTGGAGAACATAGGGGTGTTAAAAATAACATTAACAATTGATATATGTGAATAAAATTGGTTATAAAAAAAACTATTAATAGAAGGAAATAATTTGTTATGAATAATATTATTATGTGTAGAAATTGGTAATTTTAAATGTTGTTTAAAAAGTTTTTTAACAGGGGCTAATAAAAGGTCACATTGTGACCTTGTAAAAATAGTAAATTGATTAATATACTCTAATTTGGGTAATAATACTTTGTTAATGATATAAATAAGGTGGTCATGAGTTATCTTTTTGAAGCGCATTGTATACGCGAAATGACTAATTATTTTTTTGATCTTTTTTAGCGTCGGTGTATGTGAATTAAATGCATTAATATAAATTCCAAGAATTCGATTAGATGAGGCCCGTGACGCTGTTTTAATCATTATTGATTTGTCAGGGGTGACTTGAAATTGTAATTCCTTGTTACAAAATTTAGGAATGTTGGTAAGGATGGTGTATTTGTCATGATTAATGGTAATATTTGCCATGTCATAGAAAGAATTCGCAATTTGGAGATTGGATTCCAACTGCGATTTGGAAGATGCAAACCAGCTGGTATCATCAAGATAACCCACCACAGATGCTGAGTAATTAATCTGAAGGTCGGAATCAGGTTGGTAAATATTAGTAATTTTGTTGACGCTGGTAATATGAAGGTTATTGGTTAAATGTGAAAGATGTGTAAACATGGGATCATAATAAATAATCCATAATAGCGGACTGATGACTTCTCCTTGGTCAATGCCCTGAAGTACATCAAAATCGGCGGATAAGCCAAAGGGTAAAATAACATTATTTTTCCGATTACTAAATAAAGAAATTAAAAGAGTGGTAATCGTATCGGGAAAATGGAGGCGTTGTAATGCTAGTCGTAGTAGAGATTTATTAACTCTATCGTAAGCCTTGCTAAGGTCTTGTAAACCAATCCATAATGGTTTCTTATCTTTGTAAGCAGATTCAATTATATGTTGAATAACTTGTAGCGGTTGTAACGTTGATTGTCCCGTTAGGCCGGCCCGATTATTTTCATTAATCAGGTTATACGTTGTAAGATTGATATTAATTCTTTGTGTCAAAATTTTAACGAATAATTTTCTAAATGTTTCCAATAAGACTATAGGTCTAGTATTTTCAATTTTGCAGTCCCAAGCCTTAAGTTTGGATATGGGGAAAAGGAAAGCATGTAACCAGTCCCGTGGGTAAATTTGGACCTGCAAAATATAATTGAAAAATTTATTAATATATTCTCTAAAGTCTTGGTGTGTATGTTTAATGTCTTCGTATGTGATGCCGGAAATGCCTGCGGCTTTGTTGTTTGGGAGTGATGAGATGACTTGGGATAATTCTTCAATTGAGAATTCGTCCTCTAACGAAGTCATATGTTTGAAATCACGATTGTTGATGGGTTCGTAAGTTGATCTCCAATATAACGGGAGGTCTTGAATTGTCATATATTCTTTGACGTTATTAATATCATTAAGGTCTTTTCCTAACCGTTGAAAATGTAAATTTGATTGTTCTGCTATAATATGAGGATTGTTAGTAAATTGAAATTGATTAGTTTCATGATCGTAATAATGTAAACGATCTAATGTTATCTTTTGAGGTTTTCGATTAAGGATACTATTAATCATTCTTTTTTGGTTATGAATTAAATTATTATTCCTGTCATTAACGTATTTGTTAATATTTTTTAGAGTCCATGAATCTTCTTCTTGTTTATGCAAAACAATAGATATACGTAGAAGACTTTGTAAATCTTTTTTGACATTGGATATATTATCCGGCGTCAAAGTATACGGTAGCCAAATAGTACGTTTGGCGTTAAAATGGACGTCGATAACAAAAATTTGTTTACGCGAATTGTTCCAGGTGTTCCAATAATCTTTCCATTTATCCATATCACCTTGTAGTCTATTAAGTTTGATATTAGAAAATTTTCGTAGAATCATACGAAGTAAAAGTATCTTGTTATTGTTTTGTCGTAATGATAACGGTCGCTCCTGTTTAGTATATTTTTTATATGAGGAATAAGGGATACATTTCTCTTTTGTTTGTATAATAATATCTTTGATATTTGACCAATATAATTCTATTTGTTGTTCTGGTGTTGTATTTGGTAAAATTAATTTGTTAATGTGTTGTCGATAAATAATACCATTGGTAACTTTATAATTAGACCAAGATTCGGTGGTCATTAAATGGTATTTAAAATGAATTTTCAGGTCTGTGTTAGGTTTGTACGTAGGTGATTTTTCTAGGCTTTTCCTAGAGCTATTGAATTTATTTTTAAAATAATCCTGCGTCAAATAACAACTGAGAGCCTGGTGGTCTGTAGTAAAAAAATCTGCTGAAATATGGTGAGTGTAAGCATAAAAGCTATGGTGAAAGATATGAGGTGAGGTAAAAATATAATCTATACGAGACTGTATATCTGGACCTTCATTTCTATTGGTAGTATGAGTCGGGCTCGGGTGATCGTGAAAGGATTTAAGTAAATCTTTAAGGTCAAAATTTTTTAAAATTGTTTTGATTTCACGTCTCCAAATAGGATAGTGATTGGCTTTTTTAAATTTGTCGAAACTAATATTAAAGTCGCCTAAAACTATACATTCAAAATGATCGTGTTTAGCCTTGATCAAAATGTTTTCAATTTCTTTGTAACATTTGATAATTAAATCTTTGTCATCAACAGCATTAGCAGGTAAATAACAACATATAAATTTGATATAATGGTTGCCTTTAAAACATAGATCGACCGTTAAAATACGGCCATAAAAAGTGTTGGTTCTGATAATGTGTTTTTGTAATTGATACGTGATTATCATAGAGACGCCACTGCCTTTGGTGTTGCCTTTGTCATCTGTATAGAGATGAATATTATGAATAGTATTATCATCATTCAGTGTTGGGAGTGGAAACGTGGAGTATGTTGTTTTATTATGATCTCTATCTATTTTAATATGTTGATGGAGACCTGTTTCGGTTAAAATTAAAATATCATAATTATGAAGTGTAAAAAAGTGGAGAATATCATTCAATTTATTATTGAATCCTCCTTGGATATTGATTGTACCAAATTTATAGTAATCAATAAATTGTGTTCGCAATTGAGAAGATGTTGATATGGGGGCGTCGTGTGTTTGAGAGGTAGACGACGTTGACCCTCTTGTATCCTGGTCATCAAATAAATGGTGTTCAATGTGGTTTAACATATTTTCGTCTTCATCATTACGAGGTTCGCGAATATAATTTCGTGAACTCATTGTTGGTATATCATTATTATCTGGGGTATGGAGGTATTGATTATTATTTTTGTGGTTTTGGGGATTTTTATGATTATTTGGTGTTTTTGTGTTTTTATTATATTTGTTATAAGAATATTGTAGAACTGGTTCTGAAGGCTGATTTTCAAGGTCAGCAGGGGGTTGTAAATTGGTGTATTCCATAAAAAAAAGTATGTAAAAAGAATCAATGTGTATAAAAAAGAATAATAAACCGTTAATATCAAAATGGGAAAATCCAAAAAGTATGTCCAAAATAAAAGGGGGATATATTTGATTTAATGGTAAACACGTATATTAACGTGTCGCATTAAACTGCGGGAGGAGGTTGAGGGGATTGTAGGATTTAACTGAAAATTTAGGCTCAGATGATGAAGCATTTGACACTTCGTCAATGATTCCTTCGAAGACGGCACCGTCTGACATCGCGGCGTCATCAGGGGCATCGGTATCGTCATCAGTTGCCAAATGATGATGTTCGCTGTCTTCCGCTGATATGTTTCCCTGTTTATTGCCTCTTAGGTTATATCTATTTTTAGTTGCCTTATACGAAGTTTGCTCGTACGGTGACAGTCGTTTTGGTGGTTTGGCATTACGTTCTCTATGTTGTGTAATCTTTTCTTGACTAAGTAGATTAATATTAGTCGTGAGCTGTTGTAGAATTGTGTCGTATTTGTCAAGTCTGATTGTGATGGATATCGGCGATAGTATTATCGACTTTAGATTTTCCTTCTTGGAGTGTTTTAACACTATTTAAGAGGGATTCAACTTGGCATTCCAATTGTGTAATTCGTTGTTCATAACGATTGGTGTCTGACCTTTGGGGATTGTCTAGGTGGGGGGCAATATAGGAATTATCATGTTTGAAATCCTTGTTACTTTTGTCGTAATTGTAATGGTTATTGGTTGGTTGTTTGGTTTGTCTTGGATATAATGAGCTACCTGCTTGTTGGTATTTTTTGTTATTGTAGTTATGCGGTGGTGTATGGTTGGTTTTCGGGTCGTGTGACATTGAGGGAGATCTTTTGTTTGCGTTTAAAGTGATGACGTGATTAAACCTGGTTCTGTGGTTATCGTTGATTGTAATTTTTTCCTCGTTAAGTTTAATAAATCGTTTTTTGAAGATTTTCCGATTATTATGATCTGTATCGAAGTTTTTGTCGTCACAGATATTTGTCTCATGAAGTGGTGAACCACAAATATTACATGTTTTTAGTGAAAGGTGTCCTGGTAGAACGTGGAGGTTGTATCCTTCGAAAAGTGAGGAGGCTCCATTGGACGCGTCCACTGGATAATTGTTAGGTGAGACGTAAATATAAGCATTTTTCATGGTTGAATATTTGGTAGTTTGTGTAAATGTACAAGTTCGTCCGTAGACGTGTTTGATAAGAGGTTCAATGTCCTTGGCTGTGGTGTTAAGGGGAAGTCCGGTGATCTTAAAATAATTACTGGTGCGTATTTTATATTCAGGGTCTTCAGTGTTACCAGGTAAGATCCTTACTACGAAATTTTCTATTTCGAGGCTCCAATAGTTTTCTTTCATGAAATAATCATATGCTGCTTGTTTGTCAAATTGGACAATAAGTTGCTTATAAGCTGGTTTTATGAAAATAGGACGACCGCGGTTATTGCGGTTAGGAATTTTTCTTGGAGGTTTTTTAATTTCTTTGTGTTCTATGATATTGCTGCCTGTTTTTGCAGCGAGATGCTTAATAAGCATGGAGGTATCATAATTATATGGTATATCCATAATTTTTATAACAGCCTGGTCTAGGTTGGAGAATTTTTGTTCTATTAACGTATTAATAGCCTCATTGGTGAGTTCGTAAATTTTTATGTTTTTGAGGTTGTCAGGACTATTTGCTATGTATTGGTCGAGCGAGTCACGTGTTCTGAAATGGATGGTAAAGTATCTATAAGTGGACGTTGTATTGACGTCAAATCTAAAAGCATTACTATCTTTAATGAATGACGTTTTGATTAGATTGATAATATCGTTGTTAGAAAGTTTTGACTGAAAACTATCTCTAGGAATAAATCCTTTGTGAACTTTGTTTGAAACTTGTGGTGTATGTGTAAATATATCTGTTAGCACCGTAATATGTAACGGATTAGGGGTGTTTGTTTGTGTGGCTGATTGTGTTTCCGGTGATTTTCCTTTATCCGAGTTAGAATCTATGGGATCTACATCCATATTAGTCAATTTGTCAGTGATTGGTGTTTGTGTGTGAACATCTTGTTCATGTGAGTCACGTGATGTAAGTTCAATTTCGATGTGCGAAAGAGCATGAGTAGGAGAAGAAGTCGTTGCTTCTTCCATAGTTGTGTCTGTTGAAGTGTTGTTAGCAGTTTGAGAAGGCGCTGCAGGTTGACTAGAAGTCATATTGAATTTGTTTTTGTTGGAAGACGAGTAGGTGAGATATATATCCTCGTCGTTAGAAATAGAACGATAGTTTTTTTCCAAATTTTTAAGGAATTTATTTGAAAATTTTTTTCCTATAGCAAAACTCATATGATAATGTTCCGAGGAGTGCGTAGAGACCAAAATTTGTAGAAAAAATGACACTTGTCTATAGAGAAATGTATTTTTATGGTGAAAATTTCTTCTGTGAATTTTTGGTATTTAACGATCGTCGGAAAGAGTTTCCGTTTTCTCGCCCTATCACTATGAATTAATAAAGAAATGCGTGTTAATAAAATAGAACACAATGAACAGTCATGTGACTATATACTAATAGGCCAAATTTTTGAAATTATAATTCGGCCCAGCACTACAAATTTGGCCTAAATTATCCAGAAGTTCGATACTATATACCGAACCAAATCTCCCGAAACAGAAGGTTCGTTATATCCAGTGGCGACTGTATTATCATATTCGAACGTGTAATTAAATTTACAAAATTAAATATGAATTTGATAATTTCATTAACGAAATTCATCTACAGTATATAATTAAATTTCTGTATAACTAATTTGAATTGTGTAACATAGAAACACGTGAAAATCGTGAAATGACCACCCGCACCTTTACGACCTTTACGTGCATGATTTGTTTAATCATTGTTATTCAGGTGGTGTGCAGAAAGAAATTTTATTGTTAGTAGATAAAATACATATTTCCTAAGTTCAAACAACGAAATAATAATTAATATAAAAATAATAAAATTCAAGAAAAAAAAGAATTTCTGAGTTATGTTAATCAAAAATATTTTCAAAACCTATTTAAACGACCAATAAAATTCTAAATTATAGTTTTTAATCAAAGCAAATTAAATAATCAATTGAAATAAAATTTCTAAAAGTATAAAATTAAATTTTCTAATTGATCTAAGGTTATTCCGGGCTACATCGTCGAAATGGATTGTTCCTCCTGATGATTTACATAGTAAAGTTTCCATAATCCAAGAGTCGTAGTTTAAGATCAGTTGCGGACCGCAGCAAATTTAAAAACGCTTAAAAATTTTGTTAAATATAATACTGCGCCTCAAAATTAATAATATTATTAGATAAAGTAGTGTCTAAAAATTCATTCCGTGAAGACTTGAAAAAATTTTTTTTTAGGTTTTTTTTGGTTTTTCAAATTTATTTTTCTTCAGTTTTTTTTTCCTTAACCCGTTTTTTTTTTCTTTTAGCCGATTTTTTTATTTTTAATATTTCTTTTTTTTTTTTTGTTTTTAATTTTTATTCCCTTTACAATCTATGTATCGTTCTTTCACCTTTTAGTTTTTGATCGATACTGCGGAGCTGCCTTTTTTTCCAATTTCTTTCTTGGTTATTATTTACTAATATTTTTCTTTTTCCTAATGTTTTTTTTGTTCATTTGCCCTTAGGTTTGGATCAGGCTAGTGCTGCGATGTAATTGAAATAAATATTTTTTTTTATGAATAAATATATTTTATATGATTTATAAACTGGATTTTTTACCAGATATTTATCCGGATAAGAACAGCGATATCGAAAAAAAGAGATCGGAGCATTATCCGAGCTAGCTCATCTTGCTACAGTAGTCATCAGGTATCAAACGATTACTTTGATTATTTTATTTAAATTAATGCCAAAAAAATTTTGATTTGAATACAAATAAATGAAATAATGTTCAAACTTACTAATATTTTTTTTTACTTTTTTTCTTTAAAAAAATCAAATAGTTCTTATATCATAGAAACGTCAAGAAAATATCTATTTTAAGCTACTACACATTACCAATATTACAAAATTATACCACTCATAAGTTTTGAGGTACATTATTAAATAAATTTTGAATATCGTCTTTCGCTTTTTTCATTATTTCGTTAATTTTTTCATTAAGCTCATTCAAAACCACTTCTTGAGAATTTTCTGAGGAATTTGATGGAATAGTTTCTTTCGGCAACGCTGTAGTAGAATCCTTCTTTTTACCTTTGGTATTAGATGAATTATTATCATCAAAATTCCAAATTGAACTTTCATCATAATCAACATCTATAAAAGCTTGAATTGTATTTGTAGTTTTTTCATCAAAATCTTTATAAATTTCACCTTGATCATCTTTTCTCAATTGAAACCATTCTTGAAAATTTTTAGATTGACCAATATAATGAATAAATTTTGGTTCGGGTTCATTAGGCCAAAAATGAAAATGTTCTAATGCTTCATAATCTGCTATTTGATTCGCTCTAAATCTTAATAAAGCTTGTCTACCCTTAGTTTCTGCTTTTACATATACTCCACTAAAATAAAACAAATATATAATATTAAATAAAATCGTATTTAAAATTATTAATAATATCGTTAATAATAACTTACCTCATGAAAGCAATAAACATATTTTGTAAAACAGTTACAATAAAAATACTAGCAATTAAGGTAAATAAATCAATAACCCAAAAATCAAAACGATCTTTTTGAATCATATCACCATTCAACCAAAAATATGCGGCCGTTATTGCCGTTGAAAAGGACGAAAATGGATTATCGTTCCTATCTACAACATCATAATCAGATTCAAGCGTAATATTAAATAATGTTTCATTATTTATTATATTTGTAACAGCTCCACTTAATGTATCTGATTTTACTTTAATTTTGGGATCATTAGGATTCTTAAGTAAAATAAACCTGGATATAAATAAAAAAAAATTATTAATTAAATTAAATAAAATAAATAAACTCAATATATTAAAATTGAAATGATTATACATTGTGTGCGCAAATCCCATTATTACAATGAACATAAACAAAATAAATGGAAATATGTTTTTGATGATATATATAACACAATAAATATATATGGCTATTTCTAATAAAAAGTAACTAATTATTAATTTGATCATGAATATTTTTTTAAAAAAAAGTTTAATTTTATACTCACTTGATATTAGGCGAAGATATAAAACCTAATTTATAAATCATCTGTTAATATTAAATTAATTGATATGTAAAAGAACAAAAAATTGTAAAAAAAACATACAAATTCGACCCAAAGAATGAAAATTGAGAATGATGTCCCCACCATCAATCCCATATCAACTGATTCAACGCTTGCAAAGCCATCAGAAAATTTAAAATGTAGAAGCATTATTGACATTACTATCATGGGAAGTAAAATGGAACATATGTCAAAACTATTAAATATATCACCAAAATATTTTCTAGGCCCGTGAAAACACAACTGTATTACTTCAGTAGCGAGTAAATATGTTGCTAAATAATAAAATATGAGAATTAATGCAAATAAAAAATTTCGAAATTTCCAACTTATAACTTCATGATTCAAATATTCCCAACTAATAAATATGAAACAAAAGGCAAAAACAAGAAATCGAATAAAAAGGAAGAAAAAAAAATTTCTCGCTTGTTGCCAACGAAAATCAATAACCGCTTCGGTTGCTGGATTGTCATACATATCATCATTATTCTCGTATCGTACCACCCTAGAAAAAGAACTTAACAAATTCTTTTCATCTCGACTAATTTTGTACCATCGTGGTATAAATAAAAACAAAAAAATATTTGAAGCAATATTAAACCTATTTTTCTGTGGAGTTCTACTTATGGTAAACTCAGGAAGAGGAACAACTCTTAAAGCTAATGGCGACTTCTCAAGGTAATTATCAAAATCTTCAATGAGTTTGCGCATTTTTTTAAAAGGATCAAATAATTTTCTAGTAATTCTATTGTACCATTCATATTCGTCAGATTGCAGTTTGTCTATTCTAAATGCCCTAAATTTAATGTTACGGTTACGTTTCGCTTGATATTCTACTGGGATAATATTATAAGGATCTTGTGTTGAAAAGTAATCTTGATTTGCAAAACATTCTTTACGAAATAGCTTTCTGGCATAATCATCTATGTTATAAGATAAATTTTGTGAATATCATAATTCCTTTTGAAGTATTGAATGGAAAATAAAAATGAAAGAATTTTTTAAAAAAACAAACCGTAATTATATTTAAATAATAAAGGTAATGCCTTAGATACAGTACTCATCCAACCAGCATAATCTGTTGCATGACTAGAATAATACTCCAAAAGATAAGCAACAACCACAGTATCTTTAAGTTCACGACCTATAAATATTAAAGTTAAGTTATTGACAACGATAAAAAGCCACGTCATAAAATCAATTTACCTTTGTACCGATAAATTGCTAATTCCATATCATTTTCTGGCCTTTCATTATCTTCTAGTCCTAGACTATTATCATTAAACCGGAGCTTATAAATTCTTTTCCTGGCCACGACACACTTCTTGGTATATGTCTGATTACGAATTCCTCTTTTTTTTCATTTCCATTATTATCTTTAATACTTTTTTCTCCAAATAATATAAGTTTTATCAGATAATTGCAATCACCAAGAATTAATTTTTTCATGATATTATGTCGAACGTCTAATAATTTAAATTCTTTAGGCTTACATTTAGCAAACCTCCAGACTATATGTTGAATATACATTATCATTTCTTTATACTTTTAATTAAAAAGAAATTTAATCATTTTCTATTTTTCAAAAAAAAGCTTAAATAATGAATAAATAAAATTATAATCGGTAACCTACTTGATGTATTTTAATAAATCAGTCACAAGAAAACTTCTGCGCTTATTTAGATGTTCTAATGCCCTACAAGCGCGTCTTACCGCATTAGCTTTTTCAATAATATCTTTCTTTTGAATTATTTTTTCTTTCATTTCCATGATACCGTTCTTTGCCATTTCCTCTCCCGCTTCTCTATTACGTTCCATTTTTTCTATTTCTTTATCCTCCATATCTATAATTTCTTCTTCTGTTTTCCCTTTATTATCCACATTCGAAACTCTTTCATACCAATATACTTTCAAATAAAAATCATCTGATATATCTAATATATGACTTGATCCATCATTTGGCTTATATTTATTATATTATACTCTACAATTCTTAATCTTGTTGTTTCCCTTTCTTGATTTATCGGGATACCATTCGCCCATATATATTCAAGAAATGGTCCTCCTTTGTTTGGGAGTTTAGAAAGTTCATCTTTAGATTTACTATCATCACAGACTTGATGCCAAATTTGAACCGTGGATCTGCCAACTATAAGCTGCAAAGTTTGTATTCTTTCTCCTTTCTTTTGATAAAGACAATAAGAATTTCTTTCATACTCATCTATCACCCAAGGTTCTTTATCAATAACTATCGGATCAAATTCTTTATCATGATATATCGTATGATTTCCATCCATTTTTCCATCAGGTTTTTTACCTGGTTTTCTATTGGTATATTTTTTAAATTTTTCTTTTGCTTCTTTTGGTATATTTTGCTTTAATTTATTTTCGATTTTTTTAAGAACTGATGTAACTTTTCCTTCTTTATCAACTTGTAAAATATTTCCTGAAGTTCTGGCCAAACAATTCAAACAATTACTAAGATCTTCGATAGAAAAATTTTCTAACGTTATCGTTTTGGCCTTTACAGTATTATAGATATCCCAGATCACAAATTTCACCTGATTATTTTTTTCGCCTATTATAAGCAATTTTTCATCGCTATAAATGAATTCTAGTGAATAAATTTTGTCTAATTCATCAAATTTTTTTGATGCAATCTCCAGTCCATTCTCCATAATGAACAACCTAAGAGATAATTCAATTCGAGGTAAATAAATAAATATATATAAAATAATATCAAATAATAAAAACAAACTTACTTAACAGAGCTAAGTCCCCGAGTAAAACACAACTGTAGTTTGCTGACTGAAAAAGTATTGTGATTAAACCTTCTAACGTGCTTATCTTTTTTTTCGACTCTTTTTGGAGTAGTTTTTAAGCTCATGTCCACCAAATCATAAACTATAATTTTTGTTAATACAAATTCAAAAGTATATTATAATAAAATAAATGATATTAATTATGATTTTACCTTCAAGCATCTGTACATTATTCTTATAATGTTCGACCAAAAAATATTGATTATAAAGACACGCAAGAAGTTTGTCCATACAGTCTTCTTTTGTATTTTCTTTATGCCAATGCTTTAGTTCATCTTCAATGCTTTTTGGGTAATCAAATTTCGTATTTAAGTCAAGACTTCTATACTCAAAATTATACTCAAAATTATATATTCCGTTAAAGTTCAATACTATAAATCTTTTTAAAGTATATTTATTTTGACTGATATCGTCTAAATTTTGTATAAATTTACATATTCCTGAAACGCTGTCAGAATAATAATAAGTTACAGGATATTTTACTTCAAGATCAAAGTTATTATTATCGTCCTTTTTTAGTTTAAGACGGTAAACTGCTGTTCCTTTCTTAGTTTCATTTCCTGACAAATCAACTCTAACATCTGAATTTGGAAATCTTTTTTTTATAGTGTTTTTCTTATAATCAGATTTTGTACCTTTTCCTTTCATATCCTCATTAACATCTATGCGAGATACAGCAATAAAGATAGAATATTTTTTGTCTTGATAATTTTGTACATTTGATATGTCTAAACTCCATTTATATCTGTCGTCCGTATCACCATCAATATTACCATCAACGTTACTATTATTTTTTCGATTAGGGAAAATATTATATAGCTTGTCAATTTCTAAATTTTCTTTTATTTTGAAATAAGTGATTGTTTTAGTAATTTCCTCATCATTCTGATTGTTTGAATTGTGTTCCGAATTAGTCTTTTCTTCAGATAATTTGAATTGACGATGATCTGTATTTTCTAATACTCTAATCCGGAGGTTTTCTTTTTTTTTTAAAGAAAAAAAAAAAAGAACTTATTTTAGTATTATAATTAAAATATAATGAACATTACACAAATTTATAAATTTTAAATGAATTCCTACCTGTGTCAAATGTTACAGCAAATTTACCATTTTGACAAATCGCGATTTGATATTGTTCACTTTTGAAAAGAATATCCTTTTCAGCACTTAACATATTATTCGTGTCATCTTTGAAACTAAAGAAAGTCAAATTCTTCTTTAAATTCTTTCCAAAATTTACGAGGTTAGCCGATGACCTTCGATTATTATTATTATTATTATTATTATCAGTTGGATTAGATGAAGACATAATTTTTTTTTTTTACATTAAAAAAAAAAAGAAATCAATTTTTTTTTTTGAAATTTATCTATTTTTTATTCATTTATTTTTATTTGTTTGTTTTTACAAAAAAAGTAAAAACAAAAATCTTACCTTTTAAACAAAGAAAACCTTATTTCAAGACTTGTGTAGCCATCAACATTGTCACGATTGAATTCATTTCTTGTTTCATAATAAAGGCTTATTAAATCCGTGTAATACAACAGATATCTAAAATTTAAAAAATTTGTCCTAAAAAAAAATATATATCTAAAATCTTTTTTTTTTAAGTTAATCCACCTATAATACATGGCTTAATTTTTAAAAACGTATAAATTATCGATTATCAATTTATATCATGATTGTTTTATAATATTATTATTATACAAAAAAAAAAAAAAATTCTATTAAAATTACTTCCTATAACATTTTGTTAAAAGTATGTCTTATTATTGTTGAATTATTGACCTTTTCTTATGAATATGAATCCGCAGGTAAGTTTAATGATATTTATTTTTTTTTACTTGTACCAAATGACCAAATGTTGTTGCAGCGACAGAGAAAGGAAAGTCACTATAGAAAAAAATTTTTGCGATATTGTCAGTAGAGTAGTGTAACCATAAGTGAAAAGTGCAGATTGCATGCATACGTAACATACTATAAAAGTTCATCAGAACGAAACTTTTTCTCTTTGAAAGATCAAAAAGTAGTTAACACGATAAACTATTACTTTTATTATTATTATTATTATTGTTATTATTATTATTATTAGATGAAAGAATTTGGCACGTGTACTGTACTAATGAGGCTGAAAAAAAAATTCCTGCATGAATTGTACAAAGAAGCTGAAAATATATATTGTCCTTTTATAAAAGAAGGCACGGTATGAAAAAGGTCAATTTATCATTCTGAAAACAACGAACGTTTTCATTAATGGTTATTAAACTCGTATTTCAAAAGTTGACTTTTAGTTACACGTGTGTAATAACACAGATTCAGCGGAAAAATTTTTTTGTGGCAAATATAGTATATCAGCCTGATGATACATATTCGGCCATTAAATGAAACTTGTGGATGCCATATAGCCTGTTTATGTAACCACTCCTTAAGCCCTTCCCTTTGCCTTAGCGATGACTTAAATGTCATTTATTATTTACAGATCATACAATCAGCATTCTGTTTTTCGTTATTAATTTTTTATTGAAAAATCTAAATTAGTAAATTAAAAAAAAATTGTGTAATACAATGTATATGAAATTGTACTTTATTATTTTATATTAATATATTATTTATCCGCATATTTAGCTGTAATCTTTGTTATCATTAAAAATAAAAAAAATCACGTAATCGAAATTGCCGCATTATTTTGTGCAAATTCACACGTTCAATGCGAAAAAGCTTATGTCTACGACAATCATCGATCTGTGGAAAGTTTGTGTTGCCAGCCCTGCGTTAAAATAAATTTATATAAAATATAAGTCCTTTGTACGATTTTTTAGGATAATATATTTAGATATAAACGTTAACTATATCCGGATCTAGCTTACAGTGGCACGGATTTAACCAAGAGATCCAGAAACTGGAGTTTTTTTCAGATTTTTTTTTTGTAGAGTGATTATATCTTGATTAATATTCATTCAAAAACTATGAAATTTATACCATTGATTGAGACGAACCCAATGAACTATATTTTATTTTCTTGCGACCATTAGATCATAAGATATCATTGATAGAATTTTGGACATTAAAAAACAACATCCACTCAAAATTAAGCTAAAAGAAGGGTGCTTAATAACGGTCAAATACGGTAACTCTAGCATGTACAGTATGGTATATCATAAAAAGCGCGATTTATATTCGCGGCTCACTTTAACGTATAGAAAGAGTCAATATTTATGTAGATGGTTTCAAATGCCAAGCATATAAAGAATTGACTAAGGATGAAGCTGAAATAGATGAAGCTGGTATCATGGGGAGGATGTTCGACAATGAAAGAATAATTCAATATTTTTAGCGACGAAGAAGAGTTGGGGATAGCGATTGAATTATATGAATCATAAGGAGCTTAGATTGTTAAATCGATTCATAATAAAAGTCAGAATTGAAAAAAATGTAACTCCCAAGAACCGATTAGACGTCATTGAAGAACAACTCAAGGAATGGAATGTAACTAGAGAAGAATGGAGTGAAGCAGTTAATAGTGATAAATTAGAAAAACATGTGAAAAAGTATCCTCGTACAAAAAAAATAATATAAGTTTTTATCGGTATACTAAAGAAAATAAAGTTTATGAATTTATGAAATTAAAGCAATTATTTACAAAATTTAAAAAATTTCCATTCAGATTGGGATAAAATAACTCGAAAAAAAAGAATGGGGAACTGAATGTTTCACATGATCCAGGAAATTAACTGCACATATAAAACAAATAAACAGCTATTCATATAAACCAAGATATTTTTTTAAGATCAAAAAGGTTGTTCAGATAATTTTTCAAAAATTTGATTTTATAATCTTTCAGGCAGAGGTAAAAATGTTGAAATCTTTTAACGTAACCGGATAGGACAAATCCGGATACAGACATTATAAATTTTTTTGATTATTGTTTTTAAAAAACTAAAAATTTGTTCAAAATATTATGACTCGTATTTATCGGGACTTTAGGTCTAAATGCTCTAAATTTGGTATTTTGCTGGAATAATCTTGATCCTGATCAAAACATTCTTTTCGTATTGAATAAGATAAAACTGTTAAAAGTTTTATAAATTCTTTCTGATAGAAAATAATTTAGAACTAAAAAATAAACAATAATTATATTTAAATAATTACACATCCATTCCATATAATCTGCGTTCCTTAAGTGCACAGCCTATCAGAATAAAGAGCAAGAAGCATATGTTCACGTGAAAGAAAATTTTTTTGCTATAAAAACAGTCATTTGCTCGTGGCGTTCATTAATTATATTTGTTAAAATAAGCTTTTTTAGATATAAACCGAATATTTTTTTTAACCGGATTTTATTACGGATAAAGACCGCGATATCAAAAAAAGAGGATCGATGTATCAAACGTTAAATTAATACCAAAAATTATCGTTTTAATACAAATAAATGAAATTATAGTTCGAATTTAGTACTAAGGTATAAATAAGAATAAAACGTAATAAATTGTTTTTTTTATTACTTTTTTTTTTTTTATAAAAAAATTAAATAATTCTTTCTATAAAAATTGTCTATTTTATGTTACACATTGCTAATATTACAAAATTGTACCATTCATTGAGGTATATTAAATTTAATATACATTTGATTAATTAAATTATTAATATTATCTCTCATTTTTTTCATTTCATTAATTTCATTCAAAACCACATCTTGTGATTTTTCTAAGGAATTTACAGGAGTATTATTATTTTCTTCCACTATTTTTGATAGCCTTGAAGAATCAGTAGAATCTTCCCTCTTTTTACCTTTGGTATTAGATGAATTATTATCATCGAATTTCCAAATTGATACATCATTATAATCAACATCTATAAAAGCTTGATTATTAATTGTAGATTTTTCTTCAAAATCTTTATAAATTTCACCCTGATCATCTTTTTTCTTTTCATACCATTCTTGAAAATTTTTAGATCGACCAACATAATAAATATATTTTGGTTCGGTTTCAGGAGGCCAAAAATGAAAATGTTCTAATGCTTCATAATCTGCTATTTGATTCGCTCTAAATCTTAATAAAGCTTGTCTACCCTTAGTTTCTGCTCTTTCATATACTCCACTAAAATAAAATAAACAAATAATATTAAATAAAATCGCATTTATTAATGAATATCGTTAATAATAATAACTTACCCCATGAAAGCAATCAACATATTTTGTAAAACAGTTACAATAAAAATACTAGCAATTAAGGTAAATAAATCAATAACCCAAAAATCAAAATGATCTCTTTGAATCAAATCACCATTTAACCAAAAATATGCGGCCATTATTGCCGTAGAAAAGGATGAAAACGGGTTATCATTCTTGTCTTGAACATCATAATCAGATACAAGCTTAATATTAAATAATGTTTCATTATTTAAATTTTCAGCAGTTCCACTTAATGTATCTGATTTCAAATTAATTTGGGGATTATTAGGGTTCTTAAGTAAAACGAACCTAGATATAAATAAAAAATTATTATTAATTGAATTAAATTAAAATAAATGAACAATAAACATCTTGAAAATGATTATACATTGTGTGCGCGAATCCTATTATTACAATGAACATAAACACAATAAATGGAAATATGTTTTTGACGATATATATAACATAGTAAATATAAATAGCTATTTCTAATTGATTAAAAAATAAAAATAATTAGTCAATAATTTGTTTATGCAATATTATTAATAACAAAGTTAAATTTTATACTTACTTGATATTAGACGGAGATATAAAATCTAATTTATAAATCGCCCGTTAATATTAAGTCAATTGATATGTAAAAGAACAAATAATTGTAAAAAAAACTTACAAATTCGATCCAAAGAAAGAAAATTGAGAATGATGTCCCCACCATCAATCCCATATCAACTGATTCAACGCTTGCAAAGCCATCAGAATATTTAAAATCTTGAAGCATTATTGACATTACTATCATGGGAAGTAAAATGGAACTTATGTCAAAACTATTAAATATATCACCAAAATATTTTCTAGGACCGTGAAAATATAACTGTATTAATTCAGTAACGAGTAAATATGATGCTAAATAATAAAATATGATAATTAATGCAAATAAAAAATTTCGCAATCTCTCACTTATAACTTCATGACTCAAATATTGCCAACTAATAAATATGAAACAAAAGGCAAAAACAAGAAATCGAATAAAAAGTAAGAAAAAGAAATTTCTCGCTTTCTGCCAACGAAAATCAATAACCGCTTCGGTTGCTGGATTGTCATACATATCATCATTATTCTCGTATCGTACCACCCTAGAAAAAGGGCTTAACAGTTTCTTTTTATCTCGACTAATTTTGTACCATCGTGGTATAAATAAGAACAAAAAAATATTTAAAGCAATTTTTAATCTATGATTTTGTTCTACATTTTTCTGTGGAATTCTATCTATGGTAAACTCAGGAAGAGGAACAACTCTTAAAGCTAATGGCGACTTCTCAAGGTAATTATCAAAATCTTCAATGATTTTGCGCATTTTTTTAAAAGGATCAAATAATCTTCCAATTCTATTGTACCATTTATACTCGTCGGATTGCAGTTTGTCTATTCTAAATGCCCTAAATTTAATGTTATGGTTACGTTTCGCTTGATATTCTACTGGGATAATATTATAAGGATCTTGTGCTGAAAAGTAATCTTGATTTGCAAAACATTCTTTACGAAATAGCTTTCTGGCATAATCATCTATGTTATAAGATAAATTTTGTGAATATCATAATTCCTTTTGAAGTGTTGAATGAAGAATAAAAATTAAAAACGAAAGAAAAAAACGAACCGTAGTTATATTTAAATAATAAAGGTAATGCCTTAGATACAGTACTCATCCAACCGGCATAATCTGTTGCATGACTAGAATAATACTCCAGAAGATAAGCAACAACAACAGTATCTTTAAGTTCACGACCTATAAATATAAAATCAAGTTATTGATCAACGATATAAACAACGTCATAAGGTCAATTTACCTTTGTACCGATAAATTGCTAATTCCATATCATTTTCTGGCCTTTCATTATCTTCTAATACTAGACTACCATTATTAAACCGAAGGTCATCATCTCTTATAAATTCTTTTCCTGGCCAAGACACACTTCTTGGTATATGTCTGATTACGAATTCCTCTTTTTTTTCATTTCCATTATCTTTATTACTTTTGTCTCCAAACAATATAAGTTTTATCAAATAATTGCAATCACCAAGAATTAACTTTTTCATGACGTTATGTCGAACATCTAATAATTTAAATTCTTCAGGTTTACATTTAGCAAACCTCCAGACTATATGTTGAATATACATTATCATTTCCTCATACTTTTAATTAAAAAGAAATTTTAATTACTTTCTATTTTTCCTAAAAAAAGTTTAAATAATAAATAAATAAAATTATAATCAACCTACTTGATGTATTTTAATATAATTAGTCACAAGAAAACTTCTGCGTTTATTAAGATGTTCCAATGCTCTACAAGCGCGTCTTACCGCATTAACTTTTTCAATAATATCTTTCCGCTGAATTACTTTTTCTTTCATTTCCATAATTCCACCATCCTTTTCCATTTCCTTTCCCGCTTTTCTATTACGTTCCATTTTTTCAATTTCTTTATCCTCCAATTCTCTAATTTCTTGTTCTGTTTTCCCTTTATTATTCACATTCGAAGCTCTTTCATACCAATAAACTTTCAAATAAAAATCATCTAATATATGACTTGATCCATCATTTGGTTTATATTTAAACATTCCAATTCTTAATCTCGTTGTTTTCCTTTCTTGATTTATCGGAATACCATTCGCCCATATATATTCAAGAAATGGTCCTCCTTTGTTAGGAAGTTCATCTTTAGACTTACTATTATCACAGACTTGATGCCAAATTTGAACCGTGGATCTGCCAACTATAAGTTGTAAAGTTTGTATTCTCGTTCCTTCTTTCTTTTGATAAAGACAATAAGAATTTCTTTCATATTCATCTATCACCCAAGGTTCTTTATCAATAACTATTGGATCAAATCCTTTATCATAGTGTATCGTATGATTTCCGTCCATTTTTCCATCAAGTTTTTCACCTGATTTTTTATTTGTATATTTTTTTTTAAAATTTTCTTTTGCTTCTTTTGGTGTATTTTGTTTTAATTTATTGTCGATTTTTTTAAGAACTGATGTAACCCTTCCTACTTCATCAACTTGTAAAATATTTCCTGAAGTTCTAGCCAAACGATTACTAAGATCTGTGATAGAAAAATTTTCTAACGTTATCGTTTCGGCCTTTACAGTATTATAGATATCCCAGATCACAAGTTTCACCTGATCCTTTTTTTCGCCTATTATAAGTAACTTTTCATCACTATTAATGAATTCTAGTGAATAAATTTTTTCTATTTCATCAAATTTTTTTGATACGACCTCCAAACCATTCTCCATAAAGTACAACCTAATAGATAATTAAAATCGAATGAAAAAGATAAATAAATAAATAAATAATAAAATGACAAAATCGAAAAACTAAAAATAAACTTACTTAATAGAACTAAGTCCCCGAGTAAAACAAATTTGTAGTTTACTGACTGAAAAAGTATTGTGATTAAACTTTCTAACGTGCTTATCTTTTTTTTCGACTCTTTTTGGAGTAGTTTTTAAGCTCATTTCTGCCAGATCATAAACTAATAATTTTTTGTTAGTATAAATTCAAAAATATATTGTAATGAAATAAATAATATCAATTATGATATTTTACCTTCAAGCGTCTGTACATTATCTTTATATTGTTCGACTAAAAAATATTGATCATAAAGACACGTAAGAAGTTTATCCATACAGTCTTCCAAATTTTCTTTATGCCAATGTCGTAGTTCATTTTCAATACTTTTTGGGTAATCAAATCTCGTATTTAAATCAAGATTTCTATACTCAAAATCATACTCAAAATTATATATTCCGTTAAAGTTCAATACTACAAATCTTTTAAAAGTATAATTATTTTGATCGATATCGTCTAAATTTTGTATAAATTTACATATTCCTGAAACGCTGTCAGAATAATAATAAGTTACGGGACATAATTTAAGAGTAAGGTCATTATTTTCGTCCTTTATTAATTTAAGACGGTAAACCGCTGTTCCTTTTTTAGTTTCATTTGGTTTAAATCCTATAAATTCAAGTCTAACATCTGGATTAGAAGTTTCATTAATTCTTTCAAATCTTTTTTTTATAGTGTTTTTCTTATAATCAGATCTTGTATCAGCATTCACTTTTCCTTTCATATCCTCACTAACATCTATGCGGGATACAGCAATAAAGATAAAATATTTGCCTTGATAACTTTGTACATTTGATATATCTAAACCCCATCTATATCTGTCGTCCGTATCATCTTCAACGTCAATGCCAGTTTCTCGATGTACATATCGAGGATATTGATCATAGAACTTAACAATATCTAATTTTTCGCTTATTTGGAAATAAGCTATTGTTTCATTAATTTCTTCATCATTCGGATTGATAGAATGGGTTGATTTACTAGTAACTTCATCATCATTAAGATTGTAGAAAAATTGTTCTGAAGTAGAAGAAACATCGACCTTATCTCTAGATAATCTGAATTGACGATGATCTGTATTTTCCAATACTCTAATCCGAAGGTTTGCTTTTTTTATAAAAAAAAAAAGGGCTCATTTTTTTTTAGTTTTACAATTAAAATTATAATAAATATCACATAAATCTATGTTTTAAAATGAACTTTACCTGTATCAAATGTTACAGCAAATTTACCATCTTGAGAAATCTCGATTTGATATCGTTCCTTATTGAAAATTGGATCATTTTCAGTACTTGATAATTTATCACTTGTGTCATCCCTAGGACTAAGGAAGCTCAAACTCTTTTTTAAATTTCTGAATATTTCCTTATCAATCGATAACCTTTCCTGATAACTTATATTACTACTATTAACATTATAACTATTAGCTGGTTCAGCTAAAGACATTTTTTTATATATAAATTTTTAATTTTAATTTTATTTTTTAAAAAAAAGAAAAGGACAAAAAGTAAAAAAAAAACCCTTGATAAACAAATTATACTGTTTAAACAAAGAAACCTTATTTCTTGTGTAGCCATCATTTTGTATGACCACCATATTGCCTTTTATAACTGAAACCGAAACGAGGGAATGAGAACCTTTTTTGTCGCGAATGAGTCTGGTTCTTTTTTTTTCTTTTTGCTAATAAAGATTTAGTAATTTGTGTATTATAATACAACAGATCTCCTAAATTTAAAAGCAAAACATAACTATAGGTGTCCTAAAAAAAAATCGATTATTTTAAATGACGGACAAGAAAAATTTTTTTTATAGTTAATCCATTTTAAATTTGTTTGTATAACAAAAAATATGATCAGCGAATTAATATAACTTTTATAGTATGTAATTGGTATATTTGAATCGGTAGATGAAAATTGATCTATCGCACATTTGGTTAAGCAAACGTTTCAAATATAGATTCGTTGGACAGCATATATCCTGGAAAGTAAATTTTAAAATAAAATTTAAAAATAAACTGGCTACTGGATCCTAATGTGACCAATATTTCTGACGTTGGTTTCTAATAGCCTAACTAATAATACTTTTTATTAAGAACTCCGCCCAATAATTAGCATATACTATATATAAAGATTATATTATTATTATGTGATTATTTATTTATTATTATTATTAAGATTAAATTTATTACACAATTGATCAATTATAAAATCTATATTATCTCTCAATTTTTTCATTTCGTTAATTTCGTTCAAAATAACTTTTTGATCATTTTTTGATACTGAATTTTCTTCTTTAGGACTTTCTGCAACTTCTATAGTAGTAGTTGTTGAACAATCATCAAATTTCCAAATTGAAACTTTATCATAATCGGTCTCATTAAAAGCGTGCTTTATAATGGTAGATTTTTCTTCAAAATCTTTATAAATCTCGCCTTGATCATTTTTTCTACTTTTATACCATTCTACAAAATTTTTAGATTGACCAATATAATAAATATTCCTTGGATTTGGTTCTTGATGTCGAAAATGAATATGATGAAGAGCTTCATAATCTGCTATTTGATTTGCTCGATACCTCAACAAAGCTTGTCTACCTTTAGTTGCTGCTTCTTCATACACACCACTATAAGAATAATATTAATCTTTTTAAATAAATTTGATAATTAATATTTTTAAAACATTTTTATTAAAACCTACCCCATGAAAGCAATCAACATATTTTGTAATATTGTTACGAAGAAAATGCTAGCAAATAAACTTAATACATCGACTGCCCAAAAACTGAATGTATCTCTTTGTACCCAATTACCGTTAAGCCAAAAATATGCAGCTTCTATTGATGTTAATATATAAGAAAATGGATTGTCGTTCTTATCTCTGGGATTAAAATCAGATTGAAGTTTAACATTAAATGTTTCATCTGTTTGAGCATTTGTAGCTTGTCCACTAAATGAAGTAACTTTAGGATTTATATGTTCCGGATTGTTAAGCAGAATAAACCTATAAGAAAGATATAAAGCAAAGTTAATATTAAATTCTACGATAAAATCAAAGTTTGTTAAAAAAAAAAAAAATTGGAAACGATCATGACATCGAGTGTGCAAATGCAATCATTACAGTTATAGTAAATAAAATGAACGGAAATACGGTTTTAAAGATTATTATAACATAGTAAATGTAAATGGCAATTTCTATTAAAATAAAAAAGTATTGAAGTAAAAAACAATTAACAAATGATTGATTGTAAACTTTTTTTTTAAAAAAAAAGAAAAAATAAAATTTATTTACCTGACTTCAAACGAAGATATAAAATCATTTCTATCCAAATCAAAAGAATAGAAAATGATATCATTACAACTAACTGAGTGTCAAGTGTTGTAACACTTCCAAAACCATCGGCGAATTGAAAGTTCATATATAAGCCTGTCATTACTATTGTTGGAATTACAGTCGAAATTATATCAAATATGTTAAATATAGCTCCGAAATATTTTCTAGGCCCGTGATAACATAATTGTATCATTTCAGTAACTAATAAATAAAATGCTAAATAATAAAATATAGCAAATGATACAACTAAAATATTTCGAAATCCTTCATTCGCAACTTCATAATTAATATATGCCCAACTAACATAACAAAAGCATAAACTAAAAATAAGATATCGTAGAAAAAGAAGGAGAAAAAAATTTCTTGCTCTTCTCCATAGAAAATCGATAACCGCTTCAGTTGCAGGGTTGTCATACATATCATCATTATTCTCATATCGTATCACCTTTGAAAATGGGCTTAACAGATTCTTTTCATTTCGACTAATTTTATACCATCGTGGTATTAATAACATCCAAAAAATATTCACGATAAATTTCATTAAATTGTTTTCTACTCTTTTTCGTGGAATTTTATTTACAGTAAATTCGGGAAGAGGAACCACTCGTAAAGCTATTGGTGGCTTTCCAAGATCATTATCAAAGTTTTCAACGAATTTGAACGTAATAATTTCGAAAGATTTAAATAATTTCAGAATCCATTTGTAAAATTTATCCTTATCGGACTGCAGTTTATCTATAGGTCTGAATGCTCTAAAGTTGGTGTCACGATTACATCTTACTATATGTTCTTCCGGAATAATATCATATGGGTCTTGTGATGAAAAGTGATCCTGTTCTGCAAAACATTCCTTACGAAACAACTTTCTAGCATAATCATCTAATAAAAATTTGTAAATTCGACAAATTCATTTCAAAATTTTTTCTTGATGATAAAAAAATAAAATTAAAATTAACGAACCGTAATTGTATTTGTATAACAAAGGAAGTGCTTTAGAAACAGTGCTCATCCAACCCGTATTATTTCTTGCATGTTGAGAATAATATTCCAAAAGATAAGCAACAGTTATTGTATCTTTAAGTTCACGTCCTATAAAATAAAAAATAGTTTCATATTGATCAGTCCGAAATAATGTCACGCAAACAAGTATATATTTTACCTTTGCAATGATAAATTGCTAATTCCATATCATTCGTTGGTACGATTTTATCGTTTTCATTTGATTTATCGTCTTCTTTTTCAAAGGGGTTGAGATCATCCTCTTTTATAAACGATCGATGCTTTTTCCAGAGTGTACTCCTTGGTATATGTTTAATAATGAACTTTTCCTTTTTATGATCATCATTGTTTCCAAACAATATAAATTTTATTAAATAATCGCAATCGCCAAGAATTAAATTTTTCATGACGTTATGTCGAACATCCAACAATTTATATTCGTTAGGTTTATATTTAATAAACCTCCATATTATATGATTAATATATGCAACCATTTCCTCGTACTATAGAAAAAGAATATATTTACACTTTTATCATAAAGATAACCAAATTTTTTAAATCATTCATTATAAAACACTTACGCGATGTTTACTGACGTAATTTACAAGATATTTTGCACGTTTATTAAGGTGTTCCAATGCTTTACATGCGTGTCTGACTGCGCTAACCTTATCATTAATGTCTTGTCGTAAGATTGTTTTTTCTTTCCTTCCCATTCTTTCCATTTTCTTTCCCGCTTCACCGTTCTCTATTTCAATATCTTCCATCATCATTATTTTTTCTTCATTCTCTTTGATCTTCCCATCTTGAACTCTTTCATACCAATAAACTTTCAACTTAAAATCGTTCAGTACATTATTACTTAGTCCATACTTAAATTCTTTAATTCGCAATCTTGTTGCCTTCCTCACTTGGTCTATCGGAATACCATTCGTCCATATATATTCAAGGAATGGTTCTCCTTTGTTAGGAAGTTCATCTTTACACTTACTGTCATCTTTGATTTGATGCCAAATTTGAACAGTAGATCTTCCAATTACAAGTTGTAAAGTCTCATCATCATTATCACATAAACAATAAGAATGTGTTTCATCATCATCAACCACCCATGGTTCTATACATTTATCGAAATATCTATGATTTTCGTCTTTTGAATATATCCTCAAAATATTATTTGTTTCCTTTGATTCATTTCTTTTTAACTTTTCTTCAATATTTTTAAGAACAGAAGTAACTTTTCCTTTATAATTAACTTGTAAAAGATTTCCCGATGTCCTAGCTAAACGAGTATCAAATTCTTCTATCGTAAGAAAATCGTCCAACGCTGTTGTTTCAACCTTGCCGGTATTATATAGATCCCAAATTATAAACTTTAATTTTTCTTCAGGGTCTTCGCCTATTATAAGTAATTTCTCATCGTTATTAATGAATTCTAATGAATATATTTTTTCTATTTCATTAAACTTTTTTGACACAATCTCCAGACCATTTTCCATAAAGTACAACCTTAATAAAATAACATTATTATTTAATATATAAATTATTTTTTAGAACACGTGACTTGAAAGAAAATTATTACTCACTTGATAGATTGAAGTCCTCGCGTAAAACAGAGTTGCAATTTTTGCTTACTAATTGAGAAAGTGTTTTTATTGTATCTTCTTATGTGCTTATCCTTTTTTTCGACTCTTTTTGCCATAGTTTCTAATTTCATTTCTGCGAGATTATAAACTATAGCATACGTAAAATTCGTTAAAGATTTATATATTGCATATATATAGTATATATAGTATAAAAAAATCAATAATTACTAGTTACATTATTTACCTTCAAGTGCCTGTACATTATTTTTATACTGTTCGACCAAGAAATATTGATTATAAAGACACGTAAGAAGCTTATTCATACAATCCGATAAATTATTTTTATGCAAATGACCTAATTCAATCTCAACACTTTTTGGGTAATCAAACCTCTCATTAAAACTAAAATTAATCCAATTATTATCGTATTTAAAATCATATATTCCACTATAGTTTAATAATACAAATTTTTTTAAAATATTTTGATTGGTATTATCTAAATCTTGTACAAATTTACTTATTCCTGAAACGTTGGAAAAATAACAAGGCACAGGATATTTTTTATTAATAGAATAATTTCCATCTTCAATAAACATAAGACAATATATTGCTGTACTTTTTTTATCTTTGACTTTATCAGGTGCGACAGACATATTAAGTTTGACATTATCATTAATTTTATTTTCTTTCTTAAATCCTTTTTTTACTAACTTACAATCATTTTGTTTCTTTGGTCCCCTCATATCATCATCAACAATATGAGATACGGCAACAAAAATGATCTTATCGTTATTACGATTTTGCATATTCGATATGTCAAAACTCCATCTATCTTTCTTTAGCTTTCCTATATTTTTTGTGCGAGTATTTGAAGAACCACCATTATTATTGTCAAGATTATTGTCATAAAATTTTTCAATAGTTAAATAATCAGCATTTATTTTAAAATATGCGATCGGTTTATTCTCCTCCCAAGATTCTCTCTGTTCGAAATTTTGTTGAGAGTTTCTTTTCTTGGCTGTGAATGAACGGTGATCAACATTTTTGTAAACTTTGATCCGAAGGTTTGCTAAAAAAAACAAAAAATAAAAAAATAAAGATAAATTGTATAGTAAGCGATTATTTGTAACGTATTCTTTATACCTGTATCGAATGTAATAACAAATTTTCCATCTTGACTAATTGAAATTTGATAATCTTCTTCTCTCTCAAGTTCATCATCCTCCTTTTGAATATCAAATACGGATTTCTCTTGGTATCTACTGTATCTACTGTATCTACTCTTTATTGTACATGTTGTATGTGATCGCTCAAGTATCCCATTATTATCCTTATTACCGCCATCGGTTTTATCAATCTTATTTGTATCAATTTTAACAAAATTTACTTCTTGAGAATCCACAAAATTCTCATTTTCATAAGGACTATTAGGATTATAAATTGTAGATGTGGAAGATATAGACATTTTGTTAATTTATTTGATATACTGTACTGATTTTGATAATCGAGGTGATGTAGGTATGAGTTGTAGTAATTAGTAGAGTAATGTGAACGGTATATCTTCCGCAGGCTTATTTTAAGTCCTGAAATTTCTAAAGGATGTAAAATAATTTTGCTTTCTAGCTTTAATTGTTTAGCGAGATATTTATTTATTAAAAAAATGTTTGGCCGGACACATTTTTCCGGTATCTCTAACAATTTGTTTCATGATCTTCAGTCGATGGACTTTTCTAAGCAAACACATGGCCTCATCTATAACATAATACGTTACGTTAACGATTAATAAACAGAATACCTTAATAAAGTAATACTGTGTAACAACCATAATTTAAATTACTTTTGTAATCTGTAATAAGAAAACGACATAATATTGTAAGAACCTTGTCTGTTAAAGATTCAAAGTTTTTAAAAAATTAATTAATTACTATATATGATATAATTTATTTACAACCTTAAGTAAAATTACTTTGTAATCTGTATTAAGAAATTTCAATCGACTTATATTAAAACATGAAAATGAATTACACTCGCTAAAAAAACACGCAATAAGTTGAAACGAGCAATTAGTCATTTCCTTTTCGGATAATCTACCGGCAATAAATCGATTTTTTTAAATATGTACAGGTCTGTACATCGCATTCATTTTCCTTATTTCGTTTCATACAATTTCCTTATTTATTCATTCATTCATTCATTCATTCATTGTGAAATCAATTAAGCACAAACAAAGAACTTCTTTTTCTTACAATGAATTTATTTATATTAAGCATAAAAATAGTTTCAGGTATTTCGACTTAGTGAGATACGTTTTAGTCATCCTAGAAAGATTCTGAACTTCTTCAATATTTCAGTCATAGAATTTTGATGATCATTTTTCTTTGAATACAAACATTAAATACAACGGTTTCGAATATACTATGAGTGTCATTTAAAGAAAATAAAAATAAAATTACGTATAACAGATAATGCAGAGTTATTTTTTAAACATGATGATTTATAATCATACTCAGGTATTATTGTATTTAATAAAATTTTTTCTTAACCGAATTAAATTGAGAAACGCATAGATAGAAGGTATGGAAGTCCTATAGAAGCACTCATTAACATGATAATAGTATTCACTAAAAACACCATAGTAAAGTATTTTTAATGGATTAGAATTCCATCGTCTTTTCATTACTTCATGAATTTTTTTCTAAAATAATTTGAGATATTAAATTCTTGTTATATAGTATACTGTTTTGTATTATTTTTGGCGATAAAGAATTTTCTTAGAGAAGATCAGAAACGAAAGATTTATCTTATAAAAAAGGTTTGTTTCACAAGTCCAGAAATTTATCGAAAAAAAATTTTTTACCCAAACTGAAGTCCTGAGGTACACGAAATTTGAAACAAGTATAACGATAATAGTATTCTAGTGAGAATTACTTTTAAGAGCATATAACGAAATTAATAGATGCAATGGTACGAAAGGTGAGGTGATTAGCGAAGAAAGAACCTAAATCAATAGTATGAAGAACGTGATGAAACTTATGGACAAATAAGGCTAGTTATACATCAGTGTATGTGAGGTCGTCTTATATATATACAGTATCACGAAAGAATTCGAAATTCTTTTTAATGTTGTACAAATTGTGGCAGAAAAACATAGTATTGGTTAAGTCATATGCAAATCACATTTTTAGGGCTTAGACAATTTTTAACAATGTTCAATACTGCATTTGTGATTTTCACAGTCATCATAGTCATCTTGCTTTACTGGTTTTACTATTAATATCTGCGCCACAAATAAAAACACAATATTCGCTGCGAGATAAAAAAAAAAGAACAAAAAATTTCCGGCAAGCCAGATTTGAACTAGCGACCTAGAGATAACAGGCTGAGATTTTTATCTCACTACAGTCTCCCGCTCTACCAACTGAGCTATTGCCGGTTTATTGTTGTAGTCAAAAAAAAATTTTTTAATTTAAATTTAGTATCGTACAAAAGTCACGTGCATTTTAATTTGTACAAGTGTATGATCCTTCTACAGGTTATGCATATATTTCTGTATGACTTGACACAAAAAATTAATCGGTAATAAGTAGCGTGAAATTGTAAATTACTTGTATTACTTGAATCTAGAAGTTTGGAATATATCTAACACTTCAAAGAAGAAAAGGTTTAAAATTATTTTGTTTTTATTTTTAGTAACAAAGTGAAAACAGCATCAGTAACGACACTTAAAATTATTTTTTTCTATTTAACAACTACTGAATCGTTACAGTTACTAATTTCACTATGATTTATGGAGTATTAAAAATAACATTTGGTTTACCTGTTACTGCTTAATAATATAAAATTAACCCGCATTTAGTTCTTGATATAAATTTGTGCAAACCTATTAAAATATTAAAAAATTTATTTGTAAAAAAATATTATATAATATCAAAAAATTATATTAATATATTTGTTAGTGTAGCAAAATTATCTAAACTATAATTTAATATGATAATATAGTAGTGATATTATAACAGTAAAATCCAATTATTAGTCATAAGTCCGTTCTGCACGTGACGTCGTGACGATCATTAAACAGCACTTTAGAAGTTTCCGTTTCCTGGTAAATTAAGAAATTTAAGATGCTAAGTAAAATAAATAAATGAATGAATGAAATTTTGTCTCAAACCAAATATTTTTCATCTGGTTTCTAGATGTAAAAGCAAAAGAAATAATATAACAGAGAAACCTGTGTACTCGCCTACAATCATTACAAGTTGAATTTATTACTTTTTTTATGCGATTTTCGATAAAAAAAAAGCATATTGTATATTTCACTATTTTATACTAATTTTTCCTTTGCATCAAAAAATATAAATACTATATATCACAAAAACATTCACTAGCGATAGCGTAGATTTTGATGAAACATTTGGGCCTGATAGAAAACAAGTTACTAAAAGCATAGACCTATTTCTTTCAGTGGCATTAGTTGAACTACATATGATGAATCCACCCTAAACAGGATTTTGTGCAAAGTTTAGCTTAGAGGCTATAAGAAGGGGTTTACAAGAAATATTATGCTAGTACCATTATCTGAAAATAAAGTTACTATTTGGAGAAAAGGGGCTGCGTGTGATATTTCAGAATTAACCAATACCCGATCTTAATGGTCAGGTTCATACGATTAGAATCACGTGACTTCAGAAACGATTCATCAGTCACATCTCAACTTTCAATGTACCATCCGCATTGTATCTCAGGTAAGATCATCTAACAAAATGACCTCCGATCACTATTTTACCTGAGTTTGTGCTAGAGCGATTCCCCTATCAATCTTTGAAATACATATGAATTCTAGTGATAATTTTGTTTTTAATAGTTTCCTATATGTAATAAGTGAATGGTATAGAATATAACCTATCACCTTGAAATGTTAGGAAGAGCAAAGGCAGGAAACTTCATCATGTGAGATTGATGTGTAAGTAATACTCAGAAAAATTCTTACTAAAAGAATAAAGGAGCTGTATGATGCAAGATTGGCATAATTTTTTGCAGAAAAAAGACTACAAAAAACTAAGGCATGTGATTGTAAATTATACTTTCCCATCAATTCGTCAATTTGGAAGACACTGTTCACGTGACTGCATCATTCATATTGTTTATATTTCAGTGACTTTTTTTTAAGTAGTCTGATATCTATTTGTCCTTTCTCTAGATGTAAAAGTACTTACTTTTTTTATATAGTATGTTCTTAATTTCTCTTCATTTTGGCAAACATTCTTGTTAGTCTTGTAAAACAGTATAATAATCAAATGATTTACTTGCATTCCTTTTAATATACAGTATATCAATACTTAAGGTATATAAGTACTTTGAAAACAATGCCTCTAAGTAGATTTTAAACATATGCAAATTCGAACCTTTTGAAAAGAAGATATAGTGTTATACCAAAAATCTCAAAAACATAGCTAATAATGAAAAAAAGAAAAATATAGACGTAAAAAAGCAGTCATTACTTAATAATTATAAAAAGGTGAGTAAGAGAATTTAATTGTAGAACTTGGCAGTATTAGAGCGTAAGTAACCTTCAAAGTTGCTTAGCATTTGGCAGAATTGACCTTTAAGGTTTCTGTCATTAAAAGCTTAGTGATATACCACTTAGACTAGATTATAGTACTGCTTTATGATTTGATTACCACCCTATAATCTGATTTTCACTCTATAATCTACTATATATAGTGGGCCACAGTACTCTGGGTATCTTGCAAAAATCGGGGATTTGACCCTATACCTCCAGGTACTAAACAAAGCCTAAAAATTCCATTTTTTGCGAATATCTCACGATCTACTGGTCCAATTTGAACTACTTTTTTTTATAGGGTTGCTGAATGAAAATATACTATATAGCAGGAAGATTTATTTAAAAAATGGACAAAAATTGTCCAGAATTTTTTTAGGAAACGGCGCAGTTATGCAATTTAGAAAAATATCAGTCTATGCTTAAAACGAATGATAAACAAATAAATAAATAAATAAATAAATAAATTTATTATATTGATTTAAAAAACATTTTTATTTATTTATCATTATAAAACGTTTAAAAAATAATTTATTATTTAAAAACATCAGCCAATCAAAAATCAGAATTGTGGAATTGTGGATTACTAATCGTAATTTGACTCTAAAATCCGCAATATTGTGGATTTGAAAAATCATTTGAGGGCCCATCCTTAACCAGAAGTCTATATTCAACAATAAAAATGCAACACTTAAAAATTTTTCAACTCCTTAAAAAAAATACAATTTAGAAAAAATAAACTGGTAACTTTATTCTTTGAAATAAGCTTATCAAATTACTGGTCAGATTTTTAAAAGAAAATTTATGTAAAAAGCTATAAACATTTGAAATTGTATGATTTTTATATGATAGGATTAAATTTAAAATAAAATATATTGATCAGAATTTATGGTAATTCAGGTTAACTTCATGTATTATGATAATCCAGCCCAAATTATCATATATAATCTAGTAAATTGAATGTAATTTTTTTTTTTAAAAAAAAAAATTTTATTAATATATGACTTTTATAAATATTTTTATTGCTGAAATCTACTTTTTCTTATATTTTATCTTATGTAATAAAAAATTTCCAATAACTGCATTTATTAATACTTTATATAAGAAATCATGGGTTTTTATTAACTGAATTTCAGATCATATGATACAGAATTGACTCAGAAAATTGAAAATTATGTAATTGTCAAGTATAAACTTTCAGTACCATAAATATAGTATAATATATATATAATATATATATAATACATTTTTGGTACCATTTAAGAAAAAAAAATAAAAAGTAAAGGAATTTGATAATCAAAAAAGTATTTTAGAAAATTAAAAATGTTAATTTACTATCTTATTTTTATTTTTATTTTTATAGAAATTTTCTAAGTACTTATAATACTAAATACAATATATTATAGATAAAAAAGGGTAAATATTCTGAAAAATATATTTTTTTCTAATATAAAGCCATACAAACTTAATTTTATGGTTTTCATAATATAAAAATTTCATCAATAACCTGGCAACCTGGCTTTTAATTTTTTTTTCAAAAATTTTATATGCGAAATTTTTTTTCAATTTTTAAAAAATTCTCACCCGGTATAGTAATAATATAAAAATTTTTTTTTGACTTAACAAAACTGACCCGGTCAGACTATAAAAACCATTTTTACTACTTTGTATCGCTTAACTTACTATATAAGATTATTATTCTTGATTTTGTCTTGTTATATCTCAATCTTATTATGATTTATAATCTTTTATCTGAAAAAATAATATTAAATTGTGAAAAAGCTAATTATTTATATAAAATTAAATTTCTATTTAATGGTCATATTCTTTATGCTTAATCTATTATTTACTATGACCCATCTAAATCTAATCACCTAAAAAAGAAAAAATGAAATATTAGTAAGATATGAGAATGAATGTTAAAAAAAAAAATTAAATCAACAAATTTTTTTTTAAAAAATAACAAATGTTCTAAATCAAATGAATTAAATGATTAAATTTACATTTATTTTATTTATAAAACTTTTTTTAAAAAAACATTTCAATTTGGCTTTTTTTTCTAGCACTTATTCCACATTTCATTAAAGAAAATATATTCAAAGAAAATTTTCTGAAGTGGGATACCACCATAATTATAATATAATTATATTATATGGACATTTCCACTTGCCCTAGATTATATTACCACCATATGATCTAAATACCACCACTCATATAATCTGGATATCACCATATGATTTAAATATCACCATATAATCTGGATACCATCATAATTATGATCTAAATAATATAATCTAATTATTACCATATAATCTAAATAATATAATCTAATTAGTACCACCATATAATCTATTTATTTTCACATATTAGGTATCTTTTTTATACTCTAACTATCCTTTTAAATCTTTCTTGCTATCTGTATTTTTTACCACCATATAATCTAACTACCACCCACCATTTAACCTAACTACCACTATATAATCTAAATATCATGCTTTTCTTCTTGTTTCTGAGTCTTTTGCATACTAATTTCTATATTGGGGTTGCTAGTCATCTGTAGCTTTTTGGATACCTTGTTTTATGTTGAGGGTGCTGGCCTCCTATGCCTGGTTGGATGCTGGATTCTATATTGAGGTGCTTACCCTTTGCGCCTGTTTGATTGCCTGTTTAAATGCCTAATTGTGGTAAAAAAATCATGTCAGGTAGTGCAGTAAATTTGCGTTTAATTTTGGCTGACACTATGCCATAATTTTGACCGATCTTTAGTTTAAGGATCCAACTCGACGTCATGATAGTGCCATGGTAGTGACCTGAAACTGTTATAGAACTGGTGAGGAAGCAAGGTGCTAGTATAGTTCTATTAATTCGCCAGTTTTAGACCTTTTATATACCAGCTTTAAGTAAGGCGCTTGCCAAAAAAATGGATTTATATATTTCTAGAGAATATGGGTCAAGATATCCTGCGCAACAAATGCTGGTAAGAAAGTGATGAGAAGGGGTTGGATTGATAGAAAAGAAGTTTCTGTCACTTTGCCAAATATCTTTGATGAGATAGTACCTTGCATACGCAAAATAGATACAGCAAATTTTGTAGTTGTTGATAAGCCTGAGTACGATTTGGTTTTAGGAAATGTATGGCTAATGCATACAGGATATGCTGTTGACAGACATCACCAATATACATTAATAAACCTAAAGAGATCGAAGAACAAGAAAGGGAAAAAAGACAATATCGCTGTAGAAAAAATCTTTGGGAATTACCTTTTTCATTGCATACATTTTACGAGCTATTATTCCCTGATTTCACTGCAACGGATTCAGATGGAGAAATCATAATAACCAAATTTTTCAAACATCATAAAGTTATGAGAAATCTTGATCTAAGTGAATATTATGATTCGGAATACACTGAAACAGAGTCTGAATGTTCTAGCTCTGAGGACGAGAGCGAGGATGAAGAAGTCGCCTATAATAACAATGCGCCTCCTCCGATAATTATGGGTACGGCTGATACTCCGAACGATTTTGTTACCGCATTTAATGATTATCTTAGACAAGCAGATGGTGCACAGAATATTATTTCCGCGTTTCTTTAGTCGAGAATTAACACAGCCCTCTACGGAATGGTGGTACTCTACCGATCTAACTAATCCGGAGCGGTGATCATTGATCGGAATTTTTTGCGTCACAAGCAGGTTACTCCTGTGCGACAGAAAAATAAGTGGATCATCAATCAGGTCTTGTGCGACATATTAATTTTTGCATATAACGAAAAGAAAATATATATGCTAACCAGTATCTCTATTTTTTCCCGTACAAACATGAGAAAAATGTGAAAGAAGGTCTATACGCAACACAGGACCTACCCTATAAGTTAATAGTGACGACAAAAGCATATGTTATGAAAGGCTGAGGACTTTGGAATTTTGAGATCGCCAGGCGTAAAACCAACTATATCCCTTGCAGGGTAGATCTACATGTGAAAAGGTATGAAGATTCTATTTGCATGTGGTTTCATAGAGTTCTTGGCATCAGACAACAATTACGCCTTATACCTCCTTAACTTTTCCCAGCAAGATATAAAGCATGTAGGGGTATGTGGAAGTTCAGCCAACTTTCCGCAAAAAACATTCCTGTAAAAATAACGCAAAATAAGGTATGTATATGCCATAAATTATGTATGTATGGGAGCGAGTTTTTTCTCACTATGGACCATGAATTTAGGAAAGTAAGATGTCTTCCACTACTAGTAATATTCGCTCGTCTGCTTTTCCCTGTAGTAATTGATAATAATTTGATCGTTGAAAATCTGGGAGACGAAATCAAAAAAGTTCTGGAAGACTTAAGTCAAAAAAACTTCGATCTATATAAGAAAATTTAAACAACCCAATCATGCTTTGGTCTCTACTGCGAATATTACCGAAAAAAGACAAGGAAATTGATGGAGTCTCTCAATAAGATTTCTTATTATTTTTCTGTGGAAGATTCTCCTTATCTTCGATATGATGGTGCAATAGGTCCTATTCATGTTGTCGTATACCTCCAAGATGAATAATTAGTATTTTTATTCGTATCATGTATGCAATGTTATTGTATTAGTTGCTATTTCCGACAACGCTTTATTTCATAAATAATAATAAAGTATCGATATATTCCTCGTTAAAAAGTCACATGTAATTATGCAATAGTGAAAATCGCCCGAAGAGCTTAAGGATAAAAACACTGAGATCCTTGATCTTAGAAGGAAATTCGCTGAGCTTGAGGCTGAGAGAGCTGAACTTAAGGCCAGGATTGTCAAGCTTCTAAGACAGGCTGTCGAAGAGAATAAGAGACGAGATGCTAAAGTTGAGGAACTAGAACAAAAGAATGTGGAGCTTAAGGCTAGGTTTGCGACAGTGGAACAGAATTCTATAGACAATCACAGAATGATAAGGAAGTGATACCACTGAATTACCCGATGATCAAGAAGGCTCTATTATTGATTTTGAAGAGGAGATTTCAGATGGTTCGACTAATGCCTCGGAGGTGGTATCAGCTGAGGTAAGCGAATCAACTGCATCTATTCCTATATTCCTATAGCTCGCATCTCTAATTCTTCAGATAATTCTTCAGGATTTGGTCCAGTCAGTTCGCCCCAAAGCTGAGGTGAAGGCTCTGATTAAACTTAGGCATATTCCCCAAGTGAACAGGCCACCTCCTCCAATTGCCAAACTGTTGAGAACAGTATCCTGAATTAACTTTTCAACCCGACAGTCTAGAAAATCATGAATTCCATCAGTAGCCAACGGAATTCCTTGCCCTGTATGTGGTAAGGAGCATAAAGAGCCGATACGAGGAAAGTGGGAAGGTACCTATTCCTTTGATTCACCTGAGAAAATCTACATACTGCGGTGTTCTAAATATCTCTCTCTCCAGGTTGTTATTAGTCATGTGAGGAAATAATGGGCCAGAAAAAATTCTTGCCGAAATGAATAGGGGCTGTGCGACTTACGATATGTTCTGGACTATATATGGACTATATATTCTTTGATGTTTTTGGTCAAGTCTGTCTGCCACGTGATTTGCACCCAATAAGAAAAATCGATTGGCTTTATTCTTGAATTAATGTTCGCTCAGAACTTTATACAACGGTCCTGTTCTTTATTATAAATTATATAACGAATTTTGTATGATAATGGCGACTATCTTACAAAGATCTAAATATTGTTTATATGTAAAAAATTCAATCGATCCCAGCGATAGAGCTACAGTGTATAGTGCAACAAAAAAAATCAAAACCACGAACAGATATCATTGGATATACAAGATAAAAATAATCTTGTTATCGTTCAAAGTAAGTAAACTTCTAATATGGATAGTATTAGTTATCTTTGCTGGATCTAACCTAAATTATTATTAATAAAGGAAATGCAGACGTATGCCCAAGCGAAATTGCACGAGACGCTATTGATGACTTGTGTCAGATAATGAAAAAATGGGAGGAAAAGCTCTTAGCCATGTACAATCAAGGTCTACGTAGAGACAGGCATTATCATTCACTCACTCATCTCTATTATGAAGGAGATAGACTTAAAGAGGGGGGTAATGTTGGTGTAGAAAACCGCCTTGTTTTGATGGCTGGAAAACTTGGTATTGTTTATCTAAATGAAATAGAAAGAATGGTTGCTTATAAGAATATTCGGAATTCTATTGCACACAAAACAAAATGGGATCCAGTAAGGAATCGAGAAAAATATAGAGCATCCCTTCAATGTATAGATATAGCAACAGGCACCAATGCTTATATCATTATTGAAAAAAAAGAATTGTTAATTTCTGCAGTCAGAAAATGTGCAAATTTTTTGTATAATTAATTCAAGGAACAAATAATTGTAATATTGCAATTAAAAATAAAACAACTCAGAGCTACAATACAGTTTATATGATTTGATAATTATTTCTTACACCCTCTGCAAAAAAATTCAATTGTAACATCACAGACATCACATAAAACTAAGAACTGAGCTAATTAAGTGACTCAATTATTTTTTTTTATTTCCTCAGCAAACGGATCTCCCGGATTATTTTTGTAAAATGTCTCCAACGCAAGCTTATCATAATCTGCACAAGGATCATATCTTGTAGGAGGCAAATATTCATTAGGGTCTTTGTTTTCATCTGTTTTGATAAGGAAAGAAGACATGTTAAGACAAGCCAAGAAACATTTGAAACCATTTATCAAATGTATTTACTATTATACAAAGGAAATTTTCAAAATTTTACCAAAATCATTTATCTAATCTTTACGTGTTTCATCCTTATCAACCTTCTGACCTTGCTGAACAAAGAAACAACAATAAACAAGTATCCCTACTATAAGAATCAACACAATTATTGATTCTGACTTAAGTGGTTTTGACGATTGTTGCATTTTATTTCAGAAGATACGGTAAGTTTATCTTTCTGATAAGAAAGTTCATTTATAGTAAAAATTCATTATAGAAAGTTTTATTTAATAATTAGTAATCAGTGGGTTATTTATTACTCTGCGATCACATGATCTGAAATTATTTATTACATAGCGTTACACCATCTAATGTAAGAGTAGTGTAATATAAATACCACAATAGAGGGTAATACAAAAAGAGTCTTTGCCATGATAGGTAAAACATTCATTTTCACATATAATCGGAAAAAAATATATACGTTAACCAGTATCTCCTGAAAAAGTGAGATCTAAGAGATCTACATTCAACACAGGACCTTTCCTATAAGTTAATAATGACAAATAAAACCATATGTTATGAAAGGCTGAGGATTTGTAATTTTAAGTCTTTAAGATCTACAGGAACTAGCTATCTTTGCGGCAAAAGTATCGGACTTGACCTGTGATGCAGTGCTAACTTGACCCTCCTGTATGCATGTTGTCAATCCTATTCATGGAATATTGTAAAATATATGTAATCAACAATATGCATGCAGCAAGTTAAAATGACACCCCCAGAAGGGTCAAGCCCGATACTTTTGCATCTTTACGCTTTGTGAGGTAGATTGGGACCTTACCATTCCAAAAGGAATATGTTTTTCCTATACTGCAGGCCATAGGTCATTAACCGTAGTGATTGAAAGATCATTTGACGTATAACAGATTTGTCGTGAAAACGGATCTTATTTGAAAATTGAATTATAAATACATGATATTTATTAACTATGGGTAACCACTACAGAACTATGGTGGATATTGTCATCTTAACAAAAAAGTAAGAACTTTTACCGTTAAAGTGAATACTGAAAATAATGTTAATTTCCTTAAAGAAAAAATTAAACAGAAATTTTCTTGCGATGATGCCAAAGATATAAAGCTTTAGAAGTTAGATCGTGTTAAATAAGCATAAAAGGTAAGCATTTTTAATAAAGAGCTAATATTTAAATAGATATAGAAAACTAGTATTTTTAATATAAAATCTGTTTTTAAAAAATAAAAACAAGAAGAAAAAAGTGGTAATTAGATTAAAAAGTGAATACTAATTAGATTATAAAGTGATAATAAAATTATATTAATATAAAAACGTAAATACCAGAAAAGTCTTAAAGAAGTAATCAGAATATAAAAAGATAATTAATGAAAGAAAAAAATAGATTATAAAGTGGTAATTAAATTATAAATATTAGATTATAGAGTGATAATTAAATTATAAAATCCAGATTATAAAGTAATTAAATTATGAAGTAGTATTAGTATAATCTAATCTAATAAGTAGAATCTTACTATATAATATAATTATATTATATAATAGGACTTCACTAGAAACAAGAAGAAAAGAATAGTAATTAGATTAAATAATAGATATTAATTAAATTATAAAATGGTAATAAAATCAAAATTATGAATACCAGAAAATCTTAAAAAATAGCTAGAGTATAAAGAGATAATCAGTAAGTAAATTATAGAGTAATAATCAAATTACAGATATTAGATTATAGAATAATAATTAAATAATAGAAATTTAGATTATAGAATAGTACTCAGATTATATAATGACACTTAGATTATAAAGTATATTCAGATTATATAATGATATTCAAATTAATAGTACTATAATTTAGTCTAAATGGAATTCCATTTCTTTATTATTTAAATAAATTTGCAAAACAATTAAATTGCATTTATTATTTATTTTTTTAAAATTTGTATATTAAAAATAATCTTTTTTATTATTATTTTATATAACATATTAAATATTTGTATTACTAATTTAATATATATTTTAAACTTTCTTTTTTAATAAATATCTCTAAAAAAAATATTATAATAAATGTATTTTACCTGTTATTTTGAATGCTATTATTAACATTTAACTAAAATATTTTTTTGGTAAAATTAATTGGTATTACTAAATATTATTAGTGGTGATAGTTATGCATCAGTAGTAAAATTATAATATAGTATTTTATTAGATTTTTAATTTTAGTCAAAAGTACATCATAATGCTGGTATGGTAAACATCACTGCCAGTGAGTTTTAGCAATTTTCACATTAATTAGCAAAGTAAATTTTTAAATTTTATATAAAAAGTTAAAAATGGCATTTAAAGTAAAGCCAGAAATATGATTATATAAGAATTTTAAAAGCTTTTTGATAAAAAGTAAATTTTTTAGTAATTCTTTAAAATTTCTGTATCATTAATTTAATACATAATATTTATCCTTTTTACAAATATTTCCTATATTTCCTATATTTGTATAACAAAAATTTCTAGGTACAATAAGTCAATAACTTTGGCTGGCCAAAATTCACTAAAAATTGGCTATTTGATCAGTTGACCAGCAAGCAATTTTATTGGTTGCTAAAATTCTGGCTGAATTTAGGTAGTACAGTATTTATTAAAAATGACAATACTAGTAGCGTAAATTATTATTTTATTTTTGCTGTATCTAGTATTGTTTTCAATTATTAAATGATTATCACGATATTTTTACCGATTTCTTTATTTCCTTGTTCGCTTACTTGATTAACTCTCTAACAATTTTATCTTCCCCTTGCCTTCATTCCTTATGTTCGCTTTTTTTTTAGTCTAAATTTAATCCTTCTACATTAGAAATCATCCAATAATCACATGAAATCGTATTCCATAAATTTTTTCAAAAAAAAAAAACTAAGATTAGTGTTCTTTTAATGTTCTTCTGTCAGATTATTTTAATATAAAACAAATAAACATAGCTTAATCATTATAATTATAATTTCGTCTTTGGACAAGATCAACAATTTAAACATGTGCAAGATTGGTTAGGTTAAAACTTTCCTTAAGCATAATGACGCAACATCCAACGATTGCTGCGTAATAAGTATTTTTTATGTTATTTTTAAATCAACTAGTTTAACAAATATATACGCAAGATAATCCTATTTTTATACACCTTTCGACGAATTAGGCAATCATTCATTAATCAAGTACATGTAAAAAGTCTTGTCGATGGCTTTCTGTGAAACTTACGGTTTATATATAAATATTCGAGACAATATCGTAAAATTTCCATTTTTTAACTCTTCTCTTCAAACCTTCTTAAACATATTAAATGCAGACAAAAAAAATGAATAAAACCTGGGAAACTTTTAGTAAAAATTATGAAAAGTTGTTACTCGAGGAATATGGGCATGATTTAATTGTAAATGTAGGAGAGGAGCCATTGGTGAAATCTTTTAAAGCACATAAAGTCATATTGGGAGCACAATCGCCATATTTTCGTAGAGCACTTTCGAACGAATGGGCTAAACAAGAGGATGGAAAAATAGTATTTAACAAACCAAACGTCTCCCCACCAATATTTGACGTTATCTTAAAGTTAGTTATCATATATTTTAAGCTTAAAAATTTTTTTAAATTCATTAAACTAAATTTTTTCTTTCAAATGTTTCTTTTATTTATGTTTAGGTATATATATACAGGAAGTACTAATGTAGAAGAACAAGATGGAGAATTTATTTTATCGCTTTTGACAGCCGCAGATGAATTAATCTTACAAGAATTTGTTGAAGAAGTTCAACATTATTTAGTAAACAATAGAGCGACTTGGATACAAGAAAACTTTTGTCATGTATTAGATTTTGCATTTTCACACTCAACTTATGGTCAACTGCAAGATCATTGTTTAGAAGCAATTTGTGCAGACCCGCCTTTACTTTTTGATAGTGAATATTTTTATTGTATAGATTCAACCATACTCAAATCTTTACTAAAACGGGATGACTTAGCAATACATGAAGTTGATTTGTGGAATAATTTAATTAAATGGGCTAACGTACAAATAACAGAAATTGAAGCACCTACGAGAAATTTAAATGTGGATGATGTAGATGTAGATTCTACTGAATGGAGTAAAGAAACGATGCAAAACTTTCAACAAATTTTAGCGGATTGTATTCCTCTTATCAGATTTACTTTAATGTCACCGGAAGAGTTCAGAGAAAAAGTATGGCCATTTAAAGATTGTTTACCTACAAAATTATATGATACTATACTATGGCACTTTATAATGCCAGAAAAACAATCATCGCCGTTCTTACCAAGATTAAAAACCATTGATAGTAAATTAATAACATTAAAACATGCAGCATTAATCGCAACATGGATTGATAGGAAAGAAGGTAAAACTTACTCTCATACAGAAATTCCTTATGAATTTTCGTTGTTGATGCGTGGAAGTCGGGACGGATTTTCACAACAAACTTTACATAATCGTTGTGGAGGGCAAGCCAAGACAATTATGTTGATGAAAATTAAATCAACTGAAGAAATTTTTGGAATGTACATTAGCAGTGTCTGGAGTAATAATACGGCTAGACAACATGATAGTTTTATGTTTAGTTTTGGTGAAGGTAGAGAAACGAGAACACCAGTTTTGAGTAGAGTTAGAGCTGCTGGATATGATTTAGCTTTACAAAGAGGTCAAGAACGAGGTATGGATGAATTGGAAATGTTCAAAATTACTAGCAAAACTCCTTTTTCCGGTTTTTAGGTTTAAATGGACAAAAACGAAAACACGGTAAAATTATAGTTGAAATAAAATTCGCTGTAATTCCATCCATCCTTATTCAACTTTAATTTAGCTAATAATAATTTAATATTGTACTTTGTTCACTACATATATTTTTTCTATTTATCGGTTTTTAATTAGTATAAAATAATAGAATTTAGATACTTTTCAAAAATTGTAGACTATTACAAATAACTTAATAAAGCGTTCAATTACTATTATGTGGTACAAGTTGTGCAGGTCGATCATAAAAATGTATTGTCATACATAAAAAAAATTCTTTAATTTTTAAAAATGTTTACGTCGCTTATACGTCCGCTGAGTAGAGGAAGTCAAATTACTAAAGTCTTAGTAACATCAAATAATGTTGCTAAATTTAGTACATCTGGCGCCTTGCAAAGTAAGTCAAGTGTAATTCTTTTTAATTGTTGAACAATTAATTAAATTATTGTTTTAAAAAAAATTATCAGAGGATTACCAAGATATTCTAACAGAATCTCATGGAAAAGTTGGTTTAATTACACTAAATCGACCAAAAGCATTAAATGCTTTATCAAGTCATTTATTTCATGAAGTTAACAATGCTTTGGAGAAATTTGATGATGACACCAATATTAGTGCTATTGTCATTACTGGTAATGAACGTGCTTTTGCAGGTAAATAATATTGTAATAACAAATAAGAATAAGAGATCAAAATGGGTGTTTTTTAGAAAATAAGTTTTTAACAGGAGAATCTTATATTTTGTTTAGCTGGAGCTGATATCAAAGAAATGATGGAAAAATCATTTGCTGAGGTATATAAAACCAGTTTTCTCGGACATTGGGGAAAAATTAATGACATTAGGAAGCCAATTATTGCTGCTGTTAACGGTTTTGCTGTATGTGATTGTCCTTTTTTTATTAATAAGTAATATATTATAAAACTAACACGAAACCATCATTATAGTTAGGAGGCGGATGTGAATTAGCTATGAGTTGTGATATTATTTATGCTGGTGAAAAAGCTGTTTTTGGACAACCAGAAATTAAGTTGGGTGTCATTCCAGGTAAAATTATTTTAATTCACTTAAATGTTCTGCTAATTTATTTGTCACATTCAATTCATCACATTACGTTATACTTAATTTCAAAACATAAAGGTGCTGGAGGAACTCAAAGATTAGTTAGGGCCGTAGGAAAATCTAAAGCAATGGAAATTATATTATCAGGTCGTAATTTTAGTGCTCAAGAAGCAGAACGATGGGGATTAGTTAGCAAAGTATTACCTGTTGATAAAGTACTTGATGAAGCAATAAGATTGGGTCAAGAAATTGCAGGTCTTTCTCAACCATCTATTCAAGCTGCTAAAGAATCAATTAATAGAGGTTAGTGAAATGTGTAGATTAAAGAACGAAATATTAAATTGTTGGTTGTAAATATTATATTAATAAATTTTTTTTTTATTGAATAGCATTCGAATTATCATTAAGGGAAGGATGTCATTTTGAACGAAAATTGTTCTACAGTCTCTTTGCTTTGGTATGTGAGGAGATTTTCTTTGTATATTCATTCATAATTGATTTATTAATTTGTTTCATTATGTTTATAGAAAGATAAGAAAGAAGGAATGGAAGCTTTTGTTAAAAAGAGAGAACCTAAATGGACAGATGAATAATTATATATTATTTTATATTTCGATTTTAAATTTGATTTTTTAATGAATAAAAAAGAACTAATATGGATTTGTAAAGCATATCGATAGTTTTTTTAATTTAAAATTGTGATTTTCAGTTCTGGCTAGCACAAAATCGATTATTCAAGGTTTTTTTATAGTGCCGGGGTCTTTCTACTCTTTTTTCTCAATTACGTCTTTCGAGAGATCGTTGGGACTTGGAGGCTGTTTCACAATTTCGCCATTAAGCATTCTTGCTTCTTTTGTAATCGGTAAACCTATCTTCAAGTTCTTTATCAAACGAATAATAACATCTAATAATTTCTTGGTTTGTACTACCAATTTGTTCCGCAGCTTTGATAATTGCATTAGTAAAATTTTTGGGTTTTGGGTTACGATTTGGAGTTATCCTCAACATAACTTGGCAATGTATCAAACTCTTTGATAAGTTGATGATTCAGTTTTCGCACTCCGCGGAAATCTGTTTGCGCAATATACGGACGATTTTAACTCAAATGGGACTGCTTTTTTTGTCCCACTTTTTCTATTCACCAGTCATCACCTGCATGTAGCATGCACAAGTTAAAAAGACAAAGCCTGATGCGGGCAAATTAATACTTGATTAAAGCGCTAAACTCGCACTATCATCACGTGATTTAAGAAAATTTATGTATCTGGTTTTTATTATCTCATAATTTAGTTGATACTATTGGACCATCTATACATTTTTATATGGATTTAAAAGTATACATCACTCAAATATTGTCCATGATTTACATAGTGAAGACACCATTACCATTTTTGTGTATTGCCATGTGGCAGATGTGCTGCATCTTTTCAAGAATGCTGTCTATTTTATCATCACTATATTCTTGTTCATACTTTATTACTTTCTGGTTGTACTGTCATTTTCATGCCCAGAAAATTCCTCTCTTTCAAGCATGTTGTAAAAAAATATGTTATTAAGACGTTGAGTTGGGGTGGTTGATCAACTAATAAAATCAAAACTATATATGGTATACAGAAAAATACTATTAATAGATTTTTTTGTTGATCATCATATTAAAGTTTATCTTATAATAAACTTTATTAAAATTGATACATTTTTAAACTTCCATAAATTTAAATCCTTCTCAATATTTTTGCTCTAATTTTGACAAGAACATTCCAAGTAACCATCCTTTTAATAAAATGGGCTGATTTTTTAAAAAAAAGTTTCATTTTCACTTTGAAATTAATAAAAATCTATTTCAGAACAACCTCTTTCATAGAAAAAAAAAGCTTTTTTTTAGTATTTCAAAAAACAAGGTATTTCATTATTCTATAGGTTTTCACATATTCAATTGAACTTTTTGCACTACTTAAAATATAATAAAATGCAAGTTATCAAATTTTGGGTTCAGATTTTTTAATGGTAAAATGCCTAGTATTGTGATCTGTTGATCTGTTAATCCATCAATCTGCAGATTTATTTGATTCAAAATTCATTTGAGTTATCCATTAGAGTTTCAGTCAAATCACGAATGGATCTGGATAGGAAAAACAGATCATCCAAATAATTCATATAAACTATCAATTATAATTCTAGTTAAAATTAACTAATCAATGGTAAAATTTCCTTTTTTAGTAATTATTATTACATAATATTCTATGTTTAGTAATACTTAAAAATAGAAATCAAAATTTTTGTGAAATGGATATTGTCATATTGCTAAAAAGGAAACAAGGAGTTATGCAAAAACTAAATATGGTAATTTTAATATTCTGGCCAAAATTATGAAAAAAATATGCTAAAAAAATATTCATTCATATATCCTGTATATCCAAATATATTCAGCAGATATCCAAATGGATAACAGATAAATTCGTGAATTTATTACGAATATTTGAATCATTTTGAATCAGATTAACAAATTACAGATTCATCTGGATTGCAATACTAAAAATGCCTCTTATTTCAAAATAATATAATAGTTTATTACAATTCCATTGAATTTTATGTTGGTTAATAAAATGCATTTTTTAGCTAAAATCTGATTACATTAATTTTTCATATGATAAAATCTATTATCACAGTTTTCAAATTACTGTGAATTGCAACTTGTTGATCATATATAAAATAGACTGAAAATATGTGATTTTTGTAAAACTATATTAGTAAAACTTTACGTTTTACATATAAATATATAAATATTTTTTTATCTACATAAAGTTGAACTATTCTTGTATTACTTTCAAGTTTTTTTTACCTTCCGTTCTGTTTTACTAGAAGACTACTACCAATTCAACATTGGGTATAGTAATGATTCTACACTACATACTGCACTACTGTAATATTTAACTAAAATATTTTACTGAATATATGTAACCTATTTGTAAGACAAATAATAGGGCCATAAAACTTATTTGTTTTTGGATTTTATTTTGCTAAACTGCTACCATTCAACATTAGGTATACCAATAAATTTTATAATCACTTTTTTTTTATTTTATTTTATAATATGTCTAGTCAAAACTTTATTAAAAAATATTGTAATGGTACAAAGTACAAATAAATAAAAGTCTCCCACTTCTACTATATCCAGGCATACTTGCATCAACTGATGCTTCACATCAAAAAGAAATAAAATGAAAACAAAAACAAAAATAAAAATAAAAGGATTAAAGTCAATAACAAAACCATCCTACAACTACTACACTTCTAAAACTAGATCTTACTGATTATTCTGTATGGACTTTTTCAAGATATTCCTAATTTTCTTAGCATCGATCTAATAATATTAGCTAAAACAGTTGGTTTGTTGATACCATCTAAGCTTTTATCAATTTTCTTGGCTCACTTAGTTTCCTATCTGACTTAAATATATTAGTATTCTTTTGAGATACCTCAAAATATACATAAAGTTGAAATTAAAGCCTAAAAGTAGAAATATTTCGACTTGGAAAGGTCAAAAGTCTAAATTAAAGTCAAAATGGTCAAAATTACATCATAGTCATGTGATTTTTATAATTATAATTTAATATAAAATTTTAAACATGAATAACTCTGTCAATATTAATGCTACAAATATGAGATACATATCATTGGAATTCTCTCGATGAGCTGAATCCAACCGCGTAAAGATCATAAAAATCGAATCACTGGATGCAGAGTTCGTTAACTTTGAATTTTAAAATTATTGTTTACTATAATAAATATCACCAGTTCTTTACTAATAGTTTTTACCTTACTTTTTTCTTAAATTCTATTGGTTAATTAGCTAAAAAGGAAAAAAATCATAACAATGTAATATAAAATTTCCTTTTATAATAGAATCTATAAAGAATTTTATATATAATTTTTACCTTAGACCTGGAGATGACCTATTTTATAAGTACAGTCAACTCTCTTTATAGTCACACATTTGGGACAGTCCATATTTGGTGATTATAAAGAGATGTGACTATATAAAAAATTTCTTATATTTGTATATCATAATTCTGGCCAAAAATTAATATAATTTTAGCCAGAATTATACTTAAAACTTTATTGTATCGTAACTTCGCCAATATTAATCGTAGAGAGATAATCTTACCACCATTCGATTCGTCTTGATGAGACGGTTCTAATGGTATAAAATACATCGAAATCCAATTACTAGATTAATTTCCGAAATTAAAAAAATATTAATGGTTTTTGTGTAATAACTCTGCTAAAATTGATCCTAGAAAGACGATCTTACTACCATTCGATTCGTCTTGATGAGACGAATCTAATGGTATAAAATACATCGAAATCCAATCACTAGATCAATTTCCGAAATTAAAAAATATTAAATGGATTTTAAGTAATAACTCCGTCAATATTGATCACAGAGAAATGAGCTTACCACCATTCGATTCGTCTCGATGAAGTGATTCCAACGAGCTATAAATCGTCTTTTTACAATCACTAGGTACCGAGAAATTTAGCAAAATGTTAAATGGCGCAGTAAACGTAAATCAAGAAATATTATAATGCCGATGTTTAACATTTTGTTGAATAACTCGTCAGCCAGTGATCGGAAAGGATAAAACTAAAAAAAAACTCTCTCCTGTTGCCTTCACGACAATATTGTGCCAAAAATAAAAAAGATTTTTTTGAAGTATTTTTATTATTTACTTCGCGTTACTACTAACTATTACATATTTTAGTTTTCCCTTCTACTTTTAGCTATGACTAACAAACGAAATAATAAAGCTTCTGGTACTTCTGCTCCAAAACGTCCTGCCCAGAGTCCTCCTTCTGGCAACGTTCAAGGTCAAGGTTCTTCTACTTCTACTTCAGGTCACACTTCACAACCTTTGACCGACAACTCTGCAAAACGCACACGGGTTTCTTCTGAACCCGTTATGGACCAAGACAATATTTTGACTCCTCCTGCTCCTCAGGATAATACTTCAACTTCGTCCCCCCTCCCGTTGATACCAAAGCGTCCCCTTCGGCTCCTGACTCTGGTACTTCCCTTGATGACTCCCAACATTCTCCTTCTAACTCTGCAGATAAAGGAAAATCTGTGGAAATTTCACCTCCTGAACCTGATCACGCTGCGTCTCCTGACGCGTCAACCGCTGCTATACAATCTTCCCCCCTTCGCTTTTATGCTGCGGCTGCGCCCTCTACTATCGAAGGATTTTGGACCTATTTCAAAACCAATCGTGAAGCTTGCAACGCGACTGACAGAGAATTCTCCTCATTTTCCTCTTATGGTAGCAAGGCTACCACCCAAGGATCAGGCGATAATAAAATTATCGTTGTCTACTTTCATTCCAAACCTGATATGGAAAAAGCTATCGCTGCGCCTATCGCCTCCCTGCATGATCTACAGTTTCACGAACATGACCCATCTGCTAAAAAGGCAGATGAACAACTTCGTACCCTTGTAGTTACCGACATCCCTCTCTTTGTCACTGATGTACAATTAAGGGGCACTTTCTCCCGTTATGGTATTGTTACCCACTGCCGTACGCGTCTTTCAAAACTT